CAACCTTATCTTCTTCCACGATCCCTTTAACCTTTCGCTACCTTGAGAATGAATACCAAAGAAGCGGTTCGTTGAACTCGAACCTCGTTCAAAACGTGATCCAGAGATTGTGGTTCCTCCTTGCGTCCGCGACAGTGATTGCTTTCACTGGCGAACATCTCGCAATTGGCAACAATTGCTTTCAGGTTTCTCGACTGTTTTCTTTCTATATTTTACAACAATCCTTTACTTCCTGACGATCCAGAAATAATCGAATTTAAATATCTGAGTGATTTAAATAATCCCTGGATGAAAAGTAATCCGACCGATAATTATTGGTACAGAATAAATTAACGTTCAAGTAACGACACTCTTTGCTATTATAATCGTTAAATTGCTCGACATTAGGCTTCGTTAGGGTATTGTCTAAGATAAATTTAATCGTTCTGATATAAACTTCTGACAGTAGCTATTTTCGTGTGTCCATGAAACATGGATATACCAATGACGTCATTACGCCAATGTACACACGTAACATACACGTACAGTTAGGTGAGTCATTCTATTTAATCTCCAAACCTCTCGTCACTTTTTCGTACCGATGATGAGATTCATAATTTAGAGACGTCGCTTGATTTCGTGAAATGCAAACGAGTACTATTATTATTGAAATTTTCGCCACTCTGGAGTATGGTCTATTTCCCTTTGATTAGATTACGCCAGTCGGTGCAATTACAACAGGCGACACGACCTGGAAAACCAATTGACCTAAGAAACCAATAAAACGTGCGTAATGAAAAGTGTGACATGACCCATCCATAGGAATCCATCAGTTACGCGGTTGATGACACAAATTTTCAGGTGATCTCTCAATTTGTCACTCTTGAGCATTGTTCCGTATTAATCAGGGATTCTTGCTGTCTGAGTTAAGAAACATTTCTTGGATCAGCGTCAACGAGCATACGGCTCAACAATACCCTTAATAAATCATTAAATTAAGATTTGTATCAAGCCAGGGAAATAAATCTTGAAAACAGATCTTTCGCTAAATCTTTCTTGCCAAAATGAGCGACAATCTGAACAGAAACAAGCAAAATAATATTCAACGTTGTAATTTATAATTTACATTAACAAGTAACATTTGCATCAGACAAGGATAAAGTGCCTTACAGTAAATTGTATCAAATCTTCTTTTTCCAAGTTTGCTGAATACAAACGAATAAAGTATTATTTAATTATTCGTCAACGTGTAACATTCAACATCACCGAACGTTCCTCTTGACAAATTACCCTCTGAATCTCTGAAAACAAACTGCACGAAATTTCAAACAGATATTCTCGCTGTCGAACAATTCACTGACAAGTAGCTTAACAAAATTAAATCTCTCTTTCCAAAAAAAAAAAAAAAAAAAAAAAAAAAAAAAGAAAAAATTTTACGAAATTGCCAGGGACAGGCATCGATCTCGATCTACCCCGAATTGTCAACAATCTTCTAGGTTCCACAAACTAAATAAAGATCGACCTCCCTTGTGCAACTCTTCGAACAATTTTCTCCACAATCTCGAAAAAAATCCTCCAGTGTCCGCGTGATATGGCACTCATCGCCGTGAGTAGAGATTATTTACTATACACGGAGTGGACCGTGAGGTCGTCGTGGTTCCTCGAGGTTAACTCGTTTAACCTTCTCCTACTCCTCGAGTACCAAGAGCACAGAGAAGGCAAGAAAGAAGGAGAGAGAAAGAGAGAGAGAAAGACGAGGATCTGGCCGATCCTCTCGTGATCCGTCTTGGTTCGATCCTCCGCTTCCTCGAGTTTCGAGGACGCGCGGATCCTCGCGCGGCTATATCTCGCAAATACATCGACGATACGAGTGAAACGTACGTCACGATCCAGTTACTCGACCCATTCGAGCCGGTACTGCACCTCGTCTGTCCGTTCGATCGTTCTTGGGAGGTCGTGGCAGATTTCACACAGCGTCTCGTTCGCCTCGTTTCGTTTCGTTTCGTTTCGTTCGCTTCTGGCCGAGTTCCAAGCTCGTGACCAATCGGCTGGACGGCGTCGTGTCCCTTCACGCTGGCACCCGTGTCCTACGAATTGCCTCGTATCGAGCCTTTCTGTCACGACGTTCGGCTAATAGGCAATTTATTGCCACGTTTTTCGGTCAGTGTTCCCTCACGCGAGTACACACATAGTACATACAGTATCGGTTATTGTAATTAATCTGTAGTTGTAATTGTAGTTATGTTTATAATGTAACAGATGGCCTGTTTGTTGATCATAGTGTAGTATTATGATTGAGAATAATTATCATCGTAGTCACTACGAAAGTAGTGACTTTGATGATAATTATTCTCATAGTGCTACAAATATAAATAAATATTCCATGTTTTAGTTGGAGTTTATATAAAATTATTATAAATGTAACAAAATATAGTTTTGGTAGTTTATATAAAATTATTATAAATGTAACAAAATATATAATACGAAAGTAGTAGTGACTATGATGATAATTATTCTCAATCATAGTACTACAAATATAAATAAATACTCCATATTTTAGTTGGTATTTTTTTTATATAAAATTATTATAAATGTAACAAAATATAGTTTTGGTAGTTTATATAAAATTATTATAAATGTAACAAAATATATAATACGAAAGTAGTAGTGACTATGATGATAGTTATTCTCAATCATAGTACTACAAATATAAATAAATACTCCATATTTTAGTTGGAATATTTATTTTATATAAAATTATTATAAATGTAACAAAATATAGTTTTGGTAGTTTATATAAATTTATTATAAATGTAACAAAATATATAATAGCTAATGATGAATGATAAATAACGAGTGAATACTTTTATGATGGTTACAATATATATATATATATATATATATATATATATATATATATATATATATATATGTATCTATAAACATTTCCATGGTGATAATTAATGTACTAACAGTTTTTAAATATTCTATTATTTGTGAGTTAAATATCTCTGATCTTCTTTTTGTTTTATGCAGAAGTGGCATTTTACAGAAATTTTACTTCGTCTCTCATTATCCAGCAAATTTTTTGTTATTTTTTCTTTTTTTTTTTTGAGTTCTGAGCAATTTATTTGTTTCCTTTTTCGAACTTTTAATTAGCTCGAAAGCTCATCGACTTTTATCGAGTATTTTTGTTACTTTTTTTTTTGCGTTTTGATTAACAGGCAATGTATTACGACGGTCAGTGTTTTTTTTTTTTTTTTTTTTTTTTTTTTTTTTTTTTTTTTTTTTTTTTTTTTTTTTTTTTTTTAAGTATTTGAGCATTTCAACAGAGTTTCTCGCCTCCATTTATCACTCGTTTATCTCAAGAATTTTTAGTTGTCTAGCATTTTTCAATTGTTTCGTTTCCCCGACAGAATGGATTTTAATTTAGAGTCCTCGTTAGTATTTCTGGGAATTTCTGGTATTATTTTTTGCGCGTGTATTTATTTTGAAAATTTCTAACTCTGATCGTGTTCTCCTTTTCTTCGTTCCATTTCCTTTGATGGATTTTTAGTTTCGAATTCTTGTTGACTCTGTTGAAAATTGTTAAACATCGTTATTTATTTATTTATTTAGGAATTTCTTCAATCATGGTTCCTCTTCTTTTTTTAGAAGAAGTTTCTCTTCTTTTCTTTTAGCAGTTCGCTAAATCTACACTTTAGGTGCTTGTGATAGTTCACGGTCTCTCACAAATTGATAAAATAGTGTTTCGACCAAACAATATTTATTTTGTGTGCTTTGTTTAAACTGTTTGTTAAACTTTTTTAGTGAGTTGATAAAGTATGGCTTTCTGGAACAAGGCTTACGAACGATGTCACGCAAAGAAAGAGAAGTTGTGCGCACAAAGAGATTACGCCTCGCAAGGTTTACAGGTAGAGATTGCAGAGTTGTATTTCATATTTCTGCGTACACATGGTAATTCTTCGTCTTTGACATACGGGAGAATCTCAGAAGTCTTTTAGTCTTCCTGCAAATCTTTCAAGTTTCCTAAACGTGACTGTATACTTTTTATAGTGAGTTCATTAAGAGAATAAAATATAGATAAAAAGCATATTCTTCTATCCATCACTTCACCACATGTTTCAACAGAATCGAACGTTTAATTATCTTTCGAAACTTTTTAACAAAAAAGAAAAAATTATATGAAAATGAAGAATATAATTGTTCATAAGGTCTGAAAATAAATAACATTATATTACATTATAAATATGAAAATACACTGCGAAAATGTAGAATATTATTGTTAATTAATAATAAAATCGACAGACACAATTAGAAGAGTGATTTCAAAGTTTTGAAATGTACAAAACTTATGATGTTGTTAAAAGAAAAACTCTGCAAAAATTATAGGGATATTTCAAAGTGAATACGAAGCGATAAAGAAAAGAAGCATTTGATTTTTTTTTTATTAAACAAGAACATCAGAGAAGCAAACGACAAGTCAAAGAAAGTTGTTCTTGTTTAATAAAAAAAGAAAAAAAAATCAAATGCTTCTTTCTTTTATCGCTTCACGTTCATTTTGAAATATATACAACGTAACAAGGAATCACAGGAGAGAGAAAATTATTTACTGCCGTTACATATATAATATATATTATATTTCCATATAATATATCGGTACATGTACATCCACCTTCCGATACGATACGATAACATCCATTATTGTATTTTCTCGTTTATAATTAGTAGTTAGCATACACGTATATTTAAAATCCGAGCAGGGCTTCTCAGAGGCGATGTCTCGCGACGTGTGGAAACTCGCGAGTCTCTCCCGAGAGACCACAGGAATCAAAATTTCAATACATTTCCGTACGATTGTTCTACGAATCGGCCGTGATCATCCTCGACGGCGATAAATCAAAGAAACAAGTTCACACAAGGCGATCTGATTGGCAAAACACCAATCAGAACTTATTACACGACATATTTTCGCGGAATTTTGCAATTTTTATCGAATCGTCCAATCTTTTCTTTTCTCCTTTTTGTATCATCCAATCGAAGAAGATGACGGTCTGAAGCACTGAAGAGAATCGAGCCTGACGTTTTTCTTTTTTTTTTTTTTTTAATTTAACGATTAACAAGTTCGTCCTCGTCTGTTTTATACAATTTCCTTCTCCTTTTATCTCTGATGGCCATCGCGTCAAGATCAGCAGACACGATTCTCGATTACACAACAGCGTCTCGCGTGGAACAGAACGTTTTCAAGGGATACTCGTGCCGTGGTGTATTTTTGCAATGGGGGGGAGCAGTTCGCCTCGAAGGAAGCAAAATTGCATTTTTCTCGCGCGAGATATCGTTCGTTTCGGCTGCCGCTCTAACTCGAAAGTAATCACGAAGTACCGTAGCACGAGGTGCTATAATTAAAAGATTGACAAGAACGTAGGCGAGTTTCGAACGTAAAACGTGCACACCACCCAGCGCTACACGCGGACTCACGCACGTGGATTATCATCGTTTAACATGTCGTTCGTTCGTGCAACTTTATTATCGTCGTTTTACAGCAGGAATAGTTCGTTTCTTTCCCCTTAACGCACGCACGTTACATTCCCTTTTCTTACACGCTACTTAGACAGCTAGTTTCGTTCGTTTCTCGCAATTGAAATTATACAAACGACATCGAGAAGGATAGTAAAACCTTCAGTCGGAAGCATCTAACTCTTGTCGCTACGCTTCGAAACGGGGTTTCAGATTGCGCAAGGCCTCGAAGTTTGACATCTTAATCGGTAAGAATTGGAAAAGAGAAAGAAAAACAGAAGGAAGAAGACAAGGCAACGCGGACCAAAAAGCAGAGAACGAAAGAAGAACGTGTAACAAAAAAAAAAAAAAAAAAAAAAAACGAGGAACTGGCTGTTGATAGATTCATAGTTCATTGTTCGAGTATTTATACACGAGGGAGGTAGATATGCGAGATACGTGCAGAAAATGCAACTAAAGAGAACCGACACAACTAATTCTCGATCGAAAGAACCGGAAGAGGAGCGTGACTGTGACGGTGCAGCACGCAAATGAAATTTTCTCTAAATCTAATCAACAGATATTAATTTTTTTTTTTTTTTTTTTTTAAAGAAAGGAATCTGTACAGGTAAAAAACGTAAATAGCAGAATGAAAGGAGTTGCAAATTCAAGTGATCTTGAAACGAATGAGAAAAAAAAATCTTGGAGATCGTAATCGTAATGAAAGTCGTGCAGGTGTGATAATCGCGTCGGGTGCTAATGGGAGAAACCTTCTCGCCGAAAGTAAGGGTGGAGGGTAGAGGAGGAGGGGGGAGGGTAAGACGGAGAGGTGAAGACCTCCACCCTGTTTAGCCCCATTTCTGAAACAGGCCCATTCGTTGGCACCGACAATTTGAGCCCCACAAATTGCATCTGCAACTGGAACTGTAGCAGCAGTCTTTCGGCCGGTGGTCACAGTTTCCACCCCGTCTTATGCAGGCCCGCCTAAACAGGTAGATCAACGAGGTACGTCTACTCGAGATTAGGGGTATTTCAACAATGCCTGCCGGTCACATTGAGACATCGAGAAGGGAAGATGAAGAAGAAGAGGAAGGATGTACAAATACAATTCAACGTATACTAGCATGTATTAGTACGTACATCTAACAAAGAGTGGAGAAAACCATTAACCCCTTGCGCTGGCAATTGGTTCGCGGACCATAACGAGTGACCATATACAATAATTCGTCGCTTTCTTTTCCTTTTGAACTCGTCGGTATGATATCATTGGATAGAAATTATTAAGAAGTAATAAATTTATTATTTTATCTGCCTATTTTGTTACACTTAAATATACTTAAAAACTGAGAAAATACTTGCAATTTTGGGACGAAAGGTTCTTGACGTGCGTGGCACGTGATTCCAGCGCAAGACGTTAAGAACGAGTATGAAGAAGAATGAGGATGAAATATTATGGAAAATGAGTATGAAGTATTACTAAGAATGAGTATGAAGTATTAGTAAGAATGAGTATGAAGTATTATTAACCCCTTGCACTGGCAACTGGTTGCGCGGACCATAACGAGTGACCGAACCGTATACACTAATTCGTCGCTTTCTTTTCCTTCAGAACTCGTCGGTATGATATCACTGGATAGAAATTATTAAGAAGTAATCAATTTAACATTTGTTTTGCCTGGGTTACATTTAAATATACTTGAAACTGAGAAAATACTTGCAATTTTGGGACAAAAGGTTCTCGACGTGCATGGCACGTCATTCCAGCGCAAGAGGTCAAGACTGCATGATTTGTCAACCATTTTCGTGGTCTTTCGAGTAAAAGAAATCATTTGTCTTACGGCGTGTGAACTAATAAAAGTTCGAATTGCGTTATTATTTTTATCGAATCGTATAATTTTAGAAGACTCTGATTGAAAAGTCAGATCCACGTAAGCGACAAATTCGAAAGAAGTAATTTCAAATGTTATTAAAATTCTGCTTAAGTCGAATTCTTCGGTTTTTCTTTTTTAGGAATTTTTAAACTTTTCGTAATTCCAACTCCAAGTCGAACTTTGCAGCGGTAAAGAGTGGTAAATTCGTAGACGTCGCAGCGTAAAAGTTAAAAATCAAAAAGCTAAGAATATCACGTCACGATTTGTTGAAATTGAAGTAAATGTTAGAACCATGCAAGTCTACTCACTAAAATTGTAAAAATATCTGAAACGAAATTGGGGAGAGACTGGGAAAGATTGGAAATATGTGGATATAGTAATATAGTAAATACTCACTTTTGTTGAGCCGCTCGCATCAGATTCTCCAATGCGTCGTCTGTATAATCTGAATCCACGACCTGCATCGAGTCTTCCTCTGTAAAACCCATTCGAGAAAATCGTTAACACCACTGTCGCATTGTCAGTGCAATAAAGTAAAATCTACCCGCAGAAAATGAAAACTACAAATCCCTCCATTCGCCAAAATGCATTCCCTTCTTTTTCCAATAGCAAGGTTCACGAGCTGCGCTCGTTGCAGAAAAATTAAAAAACGCAGAGAGAAACGGCACAGATCGGATATTAAATTGAAAAATTTAATTTTAGGTGTGCGACGATATTAAATTTCAATAGAGAAAGTTTGGGAAATTGGAGATTCAGAAGCTTGAAAACTCAAAAACTTGGAATTTGAATGTTTGGAAATTTATAAACTTAAAAACTTGAAACTATGGAAATTTGGAAATTTGGAAATTTGAAAACTTAGAAACTTGAAATATGAATATTTGGAAAACTTGAAAATGTGGAAATTCGAAATTTTGGAAATTTGGAATTTGAATATTTGGAAATTTAGAAACTTAAGAACTTGAAAACGTGGAAAATTTTGGAGATTTGGAAACTTGGAACTATGAAAATTGAGAAACTTAAAAATTTGAAAACATGAAAAATTAATAACGATCCAAATAAGTACGATTTAGCCATATCATCCGCATTACTTTTCCACCAGCAATAAACCCTCCCTTCATCCCTTTATTAAATCCCTCCAGAATTTTCACAGAATCAGCCTGAATTTATCTTAGAAAAAAAAAAAAGGTACGTTCAAAATCTGCGAAAGAAAATTGTATCAACAATTACACGTATACGAAATCGTGTGTGTAGGAAAAAAGCACTTAAATAAAATAATGCCGGATTGTTTTCAGAACCATTAAGTGGTCTTGTTCCCTACCGAAGGGAAAAGAAAGTATCGTATATAGCTATGGTCCATTAACAGAGCTCACGGAAGGTTGTATCATAAAGAGGGAATAAAAATAGGGGAACTTCCTGGGCGAACCCTTTTATTTACAGAATGTATAAATAGCTGGCGTGGCCGCCTACGTTGTTCTATGATATTTCATGCAAATTCGTCCCCTTCCTTGAAAGATACTTCGTTGTTCGGCGAATAACGGCACGCAGCTCGGAATTATTAGCTCGTACATGGCAAAGAGGATTACAAGCATCTAGGATTTACTAAGTACACGCGCTTGGCAATCATACGCTTTACGACCCCTCGTTCTCTCGGTTCCGTGTCATTTGTTTCAGAGATTGTCACGAATTAACTAGGAAATATTTTACAATGATATCTATCGATGAATTTTTACAGATTGGATATTGGAAATTTAAAGGGAGTGTAAAACGAGAAATATTCTTGTGCGTGATTTAACTTTCGTAGAATTCTAAATAGAATTTTTATATCAATTTATATTAATATAAATATTAAGAATATATAAATTTTATATCAATTTATATTAATATAAATATTAAGAATATATAAATTTTATATCAATTTATATTAATATTAATTTTTCATTATTTTCTTTATTGTATCCAATTGTTTTATATTTTATTATTTATTTATTAATAAAATTAAATTTTAGAAAATTATATTTATTATTTTTAATTTTTAACTTTTAAATTATGAATATTCATTTGTTCAATATTACCATTATTATTTAGATTTTTGAATGGCGACAATTTATTGATTTTATTCTGTAAAAATTTATATACCGAGAAACTCGAGTGCCTCCTTCAACGATTAAAAAGCGCAATAGATAAAAATCATGGCAAAAAAATAAAATAATGGTTATCATTCCGATATCAGTTTCAAGCTAGATCTCATCGATGTGGAAATTCGTAGGTTCTCAAACGAATGAATTTCATTATCGCGCGACGAATAATGTCGAATTTAATTTCAATGCAGAAATTTCGAGGAAAAAGTAGATCGATCATTCTCGAACGCGCTTCTTTATGGAATCATTTTCCAAAGCAGATCACGTAAACCACCAGAGAGAGTGAGAATATTAAAGTTATTAGAATTTCATTAGCCACTTCTCCTCCGAAGATCGACCATCGCCATTCTTCGTGAAATATTGTTTCAAATTAGCATATCAAAACTTTCATTTTCGTCCAGCTCATCCTCTTCAGGTATCGTTTTCTTAAAAGATTACGCAAAGGCAAAGTGCAATCACTGTTTAAATTTTCTGTCGAAGCTTTCAGTTGGAACAAGATTTAAATTTCCAATTCAAACTTTTTCAAATATTCGAACAATTTGGTACGAGCTGGAGAAAAACAAATTGAACGAAGAATATTGCAGCAATTCTTAGTCGCCAGTTGAAAGTCAGAATCGTAATTCTGTTTTTACACTCAAACATTGTACGCAAACACATTTTATATTTTACATCGTACACAAACACAATTCTTAATCCATCAACGTCGTTAATCTCGAAAAACAACCCTACGCTTTCAACCGCCTTTTCAAACGGCAGATATTTACCCACAAAATTTTATCGCAAATTTCCGTATTAAGACCCAAAATTAAAAGAAATAGAAATAAATTTATAAAAATAATGTCAATGGAAATAAATTTATAAAAACTAATAACTTTCTACAAGCTTGCCGAATCACTATTTCTTTCATCAATTACAACAAATATTCCAATTCTGATTCCCATGTTGATCAATTTTGAAATTTTTGATTTTAAATATACAAAATAATATTAAATTTCTACATGAAGTAAATGAAATAAGGTAAACATGATGGAAATTACTATAGTCACTCGTGACCTCATCAGTCAAGGATTAATGCCATCCTTTCGTTTCAAAATTATAATAAAACCGAAATAAGAAATAAAAATGATATAATATAATATAATGTAACATAAGGAATAAAAATAATAAAATGATATAATAAGAAATAAATAATATTAATATATTATTATAATATTAATATTATAAATAATATTACTATTAATACTATTAATATTATTATTATAATATTAATATTATAAGTAATATTACTATTAATATTAATATTATAAGTAATATTACTATATCACTTACAATATTAATATTATAAGTAATATTACTATATTACTTACAATATTAATATTATAAGTAATATTACTATATTACTTACAATATTAATATTATAAGTAATATTACTAGTAATATTAATATTATAAGTAATATTACCATAGACAGAATTTTCAAATAACTTAAAAAAGTCATCTAACTTTCCACTCGACGAATTCTTCAAATACAATACACCTGAGTCACTACTTCTTCCGTCAAGTCTAAACAAACACTCCACTCCGGGATTTCAATTACAATTCCAATATTCCACTTAGCGGCGTAATCCTTCAATCGAATGGAAAAACCAGTTCTTTCGAGTTTTCGATTTGAGAAGGCAAGTGGTATCAGTCGTCGATCCGCCATAGGGAATTCATTAATCCGCCATGATATATAATTCCAACCCTTATCGGGAACGGACATAGATTGCACGGTCTGAAGTGAACACGAAATGATAATTCCTTATCCGGCTTTCTTCATTTTCTTTCTTCGTCCAATGATCATAATTATTATTAAGATTAAGCTAATCTAACCGTTCCATCTTTTAATCGAAAAGAATGAAATTTCCTTTTAAAGTAAACAGATATTTGATAAGACCAAGTCATTACGGCGTGTATTTACATTTTTATGGAAATAAGGAATTTATCAATAAATGTCTATCTTCAATTAAAAGATAAGCAAATTGAAATAAAAAAAAATCGCGTCTCTACGAGTGTTTTTTTTTATAAATATTCTCAGTCGAGTGTAAAGTTACAGTTGCTGTTCGAGGTAATTTTGTTTCAAACGGGGATGATTTACTTCCACTGTTTCGTAAAATATCGTATGCACGTATGAGAATGTTACGCGAACGATTATTTTATTCAGTATATCTCCATTCTAACTACCTTCGTATTTAATAAGTTAAATTTTACCCGACCCAAAAAATTCGAAACTTTGTAACTTAATAACGCAGGGACGTGACTGATACTCGATTGAAAAATTCTCAAAATTTAATTTACAACACCGCGTCGTCGTAACAACTAAATATAAAGTCAAGAAGTGAACGTGTGTCCCACGGAATCTCCGATATATCGATGTATCTGATTTCATTTCTGCTTGGCGTCTAAATCCGCGTAAAAAAAAAATTCGTCTACTTTAAAATCAATCAATCTCGATTGATGACAAGTGCACTCGATGACACTGAATATCACTGTGGGTGCGCCGCGCGTTACAAAACTTCCGGATCGAAGCCCATCGAAACTAATTAAACGCACATTCGATTAAACCGTCGTCGAAGGTCGCCAGCCAGATCGACGTTGATTTCGTTTTCTTTTTCAATCGACGATACTTGCGTAACGCGCACATCCATACGACACTGTATCGGTTAATTGTCACGATAAACAGCGTTGCTCGAGACGCGTATTATTTATATCCAATGCGAAAAATTCTAGTTAAAACAAAAAAAACTATTAATTATCGCGATTAGATTCGTGAAGCTCGCGAATTAGTATCGCCCTCCCTTCGAAACGCTTGAAATCATTTTTAATTAGATAAATTAAAAAATAAATTTAACCCTCAACGAGATCACAGACAACGATGGTAATTTGTATTAAATGATTTAAAGTATTTAATTCTATTTTGTGTTTCATGTTCTCTCTCGCAGGGATTGATTAAGGATTCATTGTCAAATATTTTTTTTCAAACGCAATTATCTGACAGAATTTTTTTAATGAAACCTTTTAACTCGAAGTATTGAAATGGAGATAGAATGAAAGAAAGAATTTTTGGGAGGAAAGTTCAATTCGAGTAGAATTATTATTATTATTATTGTCATGTATATTACAGGAATAATCGTATTTATTAAATATAATGACGTTATTTAAAATAACCATTCGATATTTTGAACATCGTGTGAGAGAAAGGAGAATATATCACTGTAAAAGTGATAATTATCGCTGTTTAGGCGAACGCAGGAGATTCGATTGACAAACGTCTGATCATATACGGGTATATACTACTAGCGGCAATCCACAGGCTGAAATACAGCATACTAGGATAAACTAAACGAATTTGTCGATTTTTTTTTTTGAATATCTAATTTTACAAAATTTCAAATTTAACAAGTTTATAAAACATTATGCATATAAAGAGCGTTAAAGTGTAAATCACTATTTATACGACGAAATGTGAAACGTGAGAGAATGTGTTTCGTGTAGAAAGCAAAATTCACAAGAAATTTCTTTACTTTTTTTGAATATTTGAGATTTAGCTTCGTAATATTTTTGTTGAAAAGATATATTTTAATGTTGAAGATATTTATTAATTAACAAGAATTTAATCAAAAGTTTAGTTAATAAAAAAAAAATTATAAAATAAATGTGAAATTTATTTAATGAAATTTATACGAGTATCTGACTATTAGTATCTCCGTAATTTCGACAATTTGTGCTTAATTATCATTGCATTGCGAGCGTGAACGCGGTAACTGTCACAACAAATCAGTAACAATTAGAATGTGTTAGTATAATTTCGAAACCAGCTGATTAAATGGATGTGAAAGGGCTTTAAATATAAATAGATACAACTGCAATGTAAAAGAGCTTTAAACATAAATCAAACACGGGTCCAAAAGTAGTATCATTTGCGTGAAATTTTCATTACGTCTCCTTGTTACGACATCATCCAAATTTATTAAAAAAAAAAAACTATAAATTTCAAAACTTAAATAATAGTAACAATATTCAAATATTGTTCAATTAAAATGTCACTAACTTCAATTTCAACCCTCAACAGAGGGTATATATTTGAATACACTGTACAGAAAGATTCTTAATTAAAATTGTTTAAGAACAACCTTTGTTGTCTAAAATTTTCTATTTCAATTCGACGATCGGCCAACGATTTCGTAACGTAATTATCACAAAACTGCGGATGATTCAAAGAAGGGAAGAGATAACACGGATACTTTGGATATTTTACATATTCTTTTACGTTTTATCCATCGAGTTTTATAGTTCCAAATTTTCACGCGTAAAAATCCGCCACTTTTTAATAGTCTATTTTAATAATCTATCTCTCACGACCTTTATTCTACCGCAAAACAGAAATAATATTCACGTATCTATCATTAAACCTTTTATTCGTCCATAATTCCTCTCTTCAAGTCGCACTCACGTGCACGCCATTATGAATTAAATCGGAAAAATAATATCCAGACACCTTCAACTATCTGCCCCTATCTTTCATTCTATCTTCTACGAATTTCAAACCACGCTCGCAAGCATCGTATAAAATAAAATCTCCAGAATTTTGCTCGATGGTAATAAGAATCAAAAAAATAATATTCAGACACTTTCAAGTATCTATCTCTATCTTTCATTCTATCCTCTACGAACTTCAAACCACGCTCGCAGACATCGTATCAAATAAAATCTCCAGAATCTCGCTCGATGCTAATAAGAATCGAAAAAATAATATCCAGACACCTTCAACTATCTGCCCCTATCTTTCATTCTATCTTCTACGAATTTCAAACCACGCTCGCAAGCATCGTATCAAATAAAATCTCCAGAATCTCGCTCGATGCTAATAAGAATCGAAAAAATAACATCCAGACACCTTCAAATATCTATCTCTATCTTTCATTCTATCCTCTACGAATTTTAAACCACGCTCGCAAGCATCGTATAAAATAAAATCTCCAGAACCTCGCTCGATGCTAATAAGAATCAAAAAAATAATATTCAGACACTTTCAAGTATCTATCTCTATCTTTCATTCTATCCTCTACAAACTTCAAACCACGCTCGCAATCATCGTATTAAATAAAATCTCCAGAATCTCGCTCGATGGTAATAAGAATCGAAAAAAATAACATCCAGACACCTTCAACTATCTACCCCTATCTTTCATTCTATCCTCTACGAACTTCAAACCACGCTCGCAATCATCGTATCAAATAAAATCTCCAGAATCTCGCTCGATGCTAATAAGAATCGAAAAAATAATATCCAGACACCTACAAGTATCTACCCCTATCTTTCATTCTATCCTCTACAAACTTCAAACCACGCTCGCAGGCATCGTATCAAATAAAATCTCCAGAATCTCGCTCGATGGTAATAAGAATCGAAAAAATAATATCCAGACACCTACAAGTATCTACCCCTATCTTTCATTCTATCCTCTACAAACTTCAAACCACGCTCGCAGGCATCGTATCAAATAAAATCTCCAGAATCTCGCTCGATGGTAATAAGAATCGAAAAAAATAACATCCAGACACCTTCAACTATCTACCCCTATCTTTCATTCTATCCTCTACGGACTTCAAACCGCGCTCGTATAAAATAAAATCTCCAGAATCTCACTCGATGGTAATAGTCCAAACGAAAGACTAAAAAGACACCAAGGGACAACAAAATCCTCTACTCACCGTCGTCGACGTAGGGGCTACCAAGGGTCCTGTCGGCGAGGACGATCAACAAGCAGACCAACCAGAACAGACCGAACTTCATGTCTCCTCCTCGAGTGATACGCGCAACGGTATATAGAATATTAATATTCCGGGTGTTCGAGAGGCAGATCCGTCCCCGTGTGTGGATGATGTTCGCGTACCCTTTCCTGACCGTGGCCGGGGTGCAAGTGAGGTTCCCACGTCGAACCGGTAGCTTATATAGACGCGGGAGGCGTGGCGATCTCGCCCCCACGAGGATCTCTTTGCGGAGGGTGAGACCGCGGATAAAAACTTCGCTACAGAGGTTCCGCAAGCTCGTCTAGACAACGTTGTTGTCCCCATGCTGGTTCTCACCATCTGGAAAGTGACTCGAGGTTAGAAAAGCGTAGGAAGCGGAGGCGGCGTAATCAATTTTTTTTTTTTTTCCTTTTTTTCGCGACGATGCCACCGGAGAAAAGGCTAGGGTGGCATCGCGCCACCCTTCGCGCGAGCAACTGGTTGCGAAGCAACTGGTACCCTTGCTGTGTGCCTACCGCCCTCATTATGTGAACCGTAATGCGATTTACCTTCCTCCGTCACGTTTCCTGTCTCTCTGGCTCACTTTCAATCGCTTTGTTTGTTTTCTATCCTTTCGTACATTCCCTCGGCTCTATTCCAGTCTCGCGGCTAATAAGATCCTGCGCCAGAGGTGCTGGCGCTGAAGTTTCAAAGGGTTAAAGCGATTTAAGGGAAGGATCGGAGAATGTATGGCGAAAATGTTAAACATCGTCGTCGTGATGATGTTTCAGCACGTGTTTGGATTCGCAGATGCTGTTTCTTTGATGTTATTTTCAGGCTATTTTAAAAATTGAATTAATTAATTAAAGGAATAGGATGGACAAAGTGAAAATTTAATCCTCGCGTTGTTCGAGGTTGTACAAGATCATCTCTCTGGAAATTTGCTTTACACATGTAAAATAAATTAAAATTCTTTTCTATTGTAGATAAAATTGGAGAACTTGCTCTTACGAGGAGTCTCATTTTTATTAAGCCTCGTGATAGAATTGCGCTGTAAGAGTAAACCAAACCGATGCAATAAAAGCGGCGTTCATATTCATGCCGTTAATAAAAAGTATTTTAGAAAAACGCACGAAAAGACGATCTTCCCTCTCGTATAAAATAAATATCGATGCTCTAAAGAATCAGTTTAAAATTGACACAAATAAAACTGCAAATTAAATGAAACTTTTTAATTGGATAACTCGCGGAGAAAATGAATTTCAAGAGTAATATTATTATACCCAGATAATTCTCCGGTTATGAACCGCGCGTATTGTTAAAACTCCCCCATCCCTCGAGAATCTGATTTCCCTCTATTCAAAAATTCAATTTATCGTCCGCTGTATACGTTAATATTAAACGCGTGCAGGGCTTTATGCGTGTTTATGCATTCCCCTTTTTCAATGGATAAAACTATGTACAACTTGTTTTAATTGTCTACTACGCTCGTAATTATTCGCCGTACACACACATTAACCCGGACGAGATTCACGCGTCTGTTTAGTTTTAATTAACGGGCAAGTTTACGGTGGTTTCGAGAAACCGCGAATATTTTTCTCCGATAATGTGTATATATCATTCAATCTGGTCGGTTATTTACGTGGTTATCAGCCTTTTTTTAATAAGCTAAAGCTGCTTGCTAAAGGACATTAATCTTTCTTTGCACAATGGGCATCAGCTGCCAAGGATTACAGACAATATTTTACATTTCCTCGTATGATTTTTCCGCGTATATCCGTCCGCACAATGAAAAATTATTTTTAATTATTTTTACGCTGCTCCGTCCTCCCCTTCGTGCGTAACAGGATGATGTATGAATCTCAATTAAACGAAATCATCACGTCACACGTTAATTATACAAAATTAGGAAAAATTTTTCACCGCTTTTCAACGGATCTTGACGTTGTGTGATAAGTTTAAATTATTTTTTAGCTTTGAACTTTGAAATAATGTACAGTATGTATGTATGTATGTGCAGAGTATTTAAAATAGTTTCTTTTTAAGACACACCAAGAGAAGTTCAGTAAATTTTGAAATTTATGATTTAAATTTCTTAATTTGATGTTAAAAAAAAGTTTATTAATTGTCATCAACTGTATAGCGTATTTGAATGTTTCACCTTTTTTTTTCTTCTTAAAATATGCATGTCAAGGAAAGTATGTATGTTCAGAAATTTATAGCTTTAAATTGATACCTTGGAAAAGTAATACTAAGTTTCTCTAAACTCTCCTCTTTCTCGAGGAGAAATTCTTTTGAATAATAGACTGAAGAGCGTTGGTTATTTGACTTTGTAATTCCAGTTAAACGACGAATTTAGAATTAATTCTGAAAAGCGATTCGTCCATTGGAATAAAATGAACTATGATTCAGTCGCTGTTTATATCATTTACTCTCTGTAATTATAGTTCGAAACAACTATTTCATTATCGTTCAGTACAACTTGTAATACTTAAATGTAAAAGACTTGAATCAAACATATTATGACTTTTTAAACTTGAGATTCGTGAAAGTTTTCAGAATTAATTGTCTGCTACAGTAAATGAAAATACAGCCAAGAAAATTTCATGTAAAATTTATGTGTATATCAAAGTGTCATATTTGACGTTTCTACTTTCACGATATTGAAAAAATTTGTATTATAGCGTGATCATTAAGAAAATTCTGCAATGAATGTAATTATAAAATTAACATAATTAATTTCATTAAAATTGAAGTTTTCAATAGTTGTTGATCTTAATAAATTTCAACAAGCTTTAAAAAAAAATATCCTGTGACCGAGTTTTTAGTCAGCTTCGCTCAAAAATCTTCGAAAACATTTTATTTTAGATATTCAGTATTTGTAATAAATTTTTTAATACATGTAGATTTTATAATCTACAACATTTTGCAGATTCTTTGTCACACAAATTTTTCTACCTTTAAAACAAATGTACATAATACTTTTCAGCAGAAACGTACGTAGAAATCAAATCTGACATACACTTCCGAAATTTTGAAAATCGTCAAGAGCGCGAAATTTTAAGACGTACGAACATGTAATTTTCACTTCTCAAGTAATTGAAAGTTCAATTTATTATTCAATTTTTCCCAAATAAAACATTTGGATTCGCTTCAATTCAAAATTTCAGAGGAGCTTAGACTTTTTCTATTTATCAATGAGTATTGTTACTTCCGCCCACTCATACATTCATACGTACTCTCGAATTTCCATACTACGAGATTACACAAAATGACTTCGAAAGGGACGCGATGAAAATGAATAGAGTCTCTTCTTTCTTTGAATTCACGGAAGAGGAGAAACACGCGTAACTAAGAAACCGCATTTGCCTTTCTTTAGGGTTCGAATACGTGCGTGGGCCGTGATGAATAGCAAAAATGTTATAGAGGAATACGAATTATGATTGCCTGAGTAATGATACAGGCAAAATTAATAACGTTCTTGCCTGGTGATGATCAATCTTGTACAAAAAAAAATATTTACGGACCGTGAAAAATTATAATTATGCCCATCTTGTCGCAGTTCCCTGAAATTATTATAATTTAATTATTATATATTACAATTTATTACTTTTATTTCCTTTTGAATTCACTGCGAACGAAAAATTCATCTATCAATTCTCATTCATAATAAATAAAACCTCATGTTTTTCGATCAAACGGAATTCAGCATTATAAATATTATAAAAGAGAACTGTGATATGAAAATATGCTTTTTTGGAATATAGAAACAAATAAATATTCCAAACGTATTCGAGAGTGATGAACATCAACGATATATGCATATAAAATTTTTACATCATGTCATGTCCTTCATCCTCCAAAGATATTTGGAAATGATTAAATTCATAAATTCGTGATGTCGATATTAAAACGTTACGGATTAAAAAAAAAAAAAAAAAAAAAAAAAAAAAAAAAAAAAAAAAAAAGAACATGGGTATCTATTTTTCCGTCCTTCAACAACGAGAGTAGTAGAGGGAAAAGAAATAAGCGAGAGGGAAGAAAGCGTAGGCGAATCATATCAACAAGGACACACGTATAACAGGGAAATTCGATGTCGCGTCCTAATTGGCGTTTATAGTACACAAGGGTACCATGCCTTACCTCTTGTTATATCGTTCTCTATAATGAGTCGCGAGAAATCGGAGAATCATTAAGCGACGAAAAACCCTATTTTCATACCCTTTTATCGTTCACTTTGCTCTACGAATTTCCTGACATTTTCAATATCAACTTCCATTCCACTTTCAATATTCAAATATTGTTATATAATTCGTTCGCAATATTATTGTCAATAATATAGGATATAATAAAGGAACAGGAACAAGATTGTCAATAAAAATGGTTACATCGTACCTATTCATTCTCAATAGTGTCAAGTTAAAAACAGGCAACTTCAAGATTTTTGTAACCTTTTTGATTGAAATAAAGAAAAGATCATGCTTCTGGAAGTGGAAGAGGAGACGCGTGATTTTGTAACGATATACAAAAAGGAGTTTCGATCGAAAAGAGGTGACAGGCCGAAGGCACACAGACCACAACCCGAGTACCCTCCACCCTTGAATAATTTAAATGGCCCGTACAGAAACTGTCTGAATACACGGCGACGAAATGCCATTCTTCCCTTAAACGAACAAACCGAGGACCCTCAGGAGACTTTAAACAGAGTAAACAATATTTGTAATTAGCAATGATTACACGACTGACAAAAAGTAAAGTAATTCTTTTAAATTTAAGTTTTTTTTAAAACTTAAATTTAAAAGAATTGAAATTTTAATATGTGAAATTGAAGTGCATCGAATTTAAAGAAGAAGAATATGTTTTCAATATTTTGATATTACAAAATATTATAATATTAATATTATAATACACAGTATTGTGAATTCTAATATTATAATATTTACATTCAAATATTTAGATTCGTGAGAAATATCCGCGTCTAAAAGAATTTCTTGAAATTGTGCCGGATGAGGAGATAATCGAAAGAAAGGAGAATGAGATTAAACAAACCGTGTATCAAATGGATTATTCAAAAGGTTTCGTTTTAAAAATAAAACTACAATTTCGTTGAAATATTTTAAAATAAAGATTTGATTAATACCAGGTGATTACTCACCTCGCGCAAAAATATATGAAAGAAGAGAGGACGTTCGTTTACCGGAAGATTGGATCATTTTGGAGACGAGTCAAAAGAAGTCTTACAGGAATCCGTGGAAAATTGTAACAGAGGACTTCGTACGGGTAAAGAAAGCGTTAAAACCACCGGACAATTTAACACCGAATAAAAAGGAAAGAGAAATTCTTTGTATAAGGTGAGAGAGTGTAAAATTACAACAGCCTGTTGAATATCGATATTTTATTGCTTATTATTAAAATCCAATATGGATTTAAACAACATGAGCAACAATCATTATTATTTTTCTTTTATAAAAGTTTGGTACTTATGTACATAATTATGTAGTAAAAAAGTAAATATCCATTGTTAACTCTATGATTTGTTACAATTTATTCGTTTTCAGAACTGGAGATTCAGAGTACGATGCAATGATAGGTGCTACCGGAAATCGTGTGACAAAAGAATGTTTGTTTGGTCCACCGTTATCAGTTGAACCGCAGATATATACTAAAAGTTCGGACAGTCCACCGTCTAAGTGCTCTGAAATTCTAGCCGAGAAGAAATTTGTACTTCCTTCTAACATAATTTAATCTTTTTGGTCTAACTTTTTTTTTAACGTGTCTCCACATTTCCTCCAGAAGACGATTATTTCTAATAAATACTTATCGAAGTAAGCGATAGTTAGGTAAAGGATTACTTTGAATTATCAGACACGAATTATTACAAAACAGAATCTGCATTGTTTTGCTTGTACATAATCATTTTATAAATATATTATTTCCTATTTTCATCCCGATTAATTATTAATTTACAACAATTCACATTCACGCTGAACAGACAACGTCATATTCCACGTCATGGAGTTATTTACAAACCCGACATATCTTAGGATTATTTAACAAATTATTTATACACGAACATAAAACATTTTTATTTTTCTTATGAAAGTGTAGTTATGTATTTCATTTATGTATTTAATAATAAATGAAATTAATCATATTTTTTTCGAATTTGAAGATTAACATTAAAATTCTTGAAAGATGGAATTTCAATAATATATAACGTAGAAAGTGTATAATTAGAAATAAAAGTATTGGAACATAACAATAATTTAACAAAAATAAAATAATAATATTTGTGAAATTCCTGATGCCCGTAATTATAAATTTAGAACTGAATTCGTTATAAATGAATTTTCAAATATCCCAACTATTCGGGTGTATTACATGTTCACGCATAGCCTCCTTTCATATTCAGCCAAAATAGTTAACATTTCAAGATTGAACATGTTATTTACATAAGTCACTGCAAAAGATATGAGTAACTTCTCTTATAATATATTCTTAATATATTCTTAACTATGTTTCATAAAGCTTTTCGTCAGATTAAATTAACTCTTTGCGGTCGAACCTCGAGATATTCCCAGCGAAGCTGTAGTTGCATCCCCGGGATGTTCCTGGTACGAGTATGACAGTTATTTAGGCAGTCAAACTTAGCACTGTTCATCTTATTGTACTAACTCATTCTAAACACTTTGTGGATCCTTTGAAGAAACACAGTCGTTCTTTCAGTCAGTTGAAATCGTTCTTTCCACACAGGCAGCAGACTCAATATTACTGATATTTACTTTTTTTTTTCATTAATATTTATCTGATTTTTACGTTTGTAAATATTATATATGACAACCTAGTTATTATGAAAATATGCAAAGGTGATGAATTTTATATGACTCAATCAAACTGATGATGACTACAGTGACAAATCAGATAGTGATATTAGAGTACTTAAAAACCAGGATTACACATTGGAGATTCTTATTATACCAAAGAAAACTATAGATCTGTATAAAATATCGAATACCAAAATGATAAATAATATCCACACAACTTAAGCATGCTTATTTGAATAAAATTTATACGTTATTGACTGTAATTGACTGAGCGTGTGCTACCCAAAAATAATTTCAAAAATCAATACGACTACCATCATTCTAAAAAATATCGATCGCAAAGAGTTAATTGCACGTAAAATTGTACAAAAAATCTTATCGATGTATCGTACATGTTTTTTTTTACATTTTGTTCACTCCTCATTGTAATGGAAGTTAATTCATTTATAAAATCTAATCTAAAAATAGTACCCAGCACGTAACAATAAATTATGCAGTTCAGTCTCTCGATTAAACATAGCGATATGATTTATAGAAAAATTTACATATTTTGAAACTATAAATTCGATATGTAACACCGCAAACATTTTTTATATATATAAAATATTTAAAATTAATTGAATAGCGATAAATTTTTCACTTGCCAAAATTTATAATTGAAATTTATCCAATTTTGAATTTAGTTTTCGAATTTCAGATCATGGCACGATACTATGCAATAATATTATCGAATCTGTATTAGGCTATGCATAAAGAAAAGCTAAAAAAATATAAGTAAACTTTTTCTTAACCTTTTCGTAATATATATACAGCTTTGACGATTCTTCATAATCATCATCAGAAACTATGTTTGCATTATTTCTGCAAATATGCATGGATGATGCTTATTTACATGTATGTATGATGATTATTTACAAATGGACTAATGCAAACACACGTAGGATGTCATCACTGACACATTTTTCGTTTTTGATTGTAAATTTTTCATATAATACCTCCACATCCGATTTACATCAAGCAATTGTTTGAGGTAACGATATCGTCTTCAGAAATCATATCCTGAAGGGGAATACCTTGTTTCTGAAACAAATGTTTACACGTGTTCTTATTCCAAAATCTCTGCATTTTATTCAGAAAAATTTATACTTACTTCAATGACGATTGTGGAGGTCATATTATCTGTGTCGTGATACTGAACACCTACATTTGCTGCTGCTATTGCTATAGTACGAACGGTATTGGTGCTGGTCGAAGTTGTGATGTGCTGGGTAATCATGGCATTTTCGTTTGCTCTACTGGAACCATTACACTCTTATATGCGTAAAATAATGAATGAGACACTGTGTTTGCTTTCCATAAAGAAATATCATAAAAGAAAGATATATAGAGAGACTTACTTTCGTTTCTTTACTTGACCGGAATGAAAACGTCCACCCTCACCGCGAATTCTATTCATTGCATGTCGATGTCGAGATTCATGAAGATATTTCTGTAAGAAAATAATAATTTCATATAGAACACATGACTAAACATATATGAACACATGAATGCTAAATGCATGCTTACAGGTCTTTCTTTAGGTATCTTTCCTTCAGCTTCTAATTTTGCCCGCGCTTGACGACGTTTTAATATGCGTCTATATTGTTTAGCATTTACATATAAAGGTTCTTCTTCAAAAACTTCCGCATTTGGCAATGCTACCCTTTGAAATTGCGTTTGTCCGCTATTTCCTGGCACCATCTACAACAATAAAAATTACAGTTACATATGCTTAAATAAATGTCTTAATAATATTTGGCTTGTTATGCTAACTATTTTAATTTTACAAGAAAATTAATTTGTATTGTCCTTGTTGCTCTATAATCACTACAAGTCAGTATAATATATACACAGACTATGTAAGTGAAAGAGACATTTTAATAGTAATCACCATGACAACATTTCCTGCCTGAGACGCTGCTGCTGTAGGACTTGCTAAAGGTTGTACTGGTGTTGTAGTTGCTGCAGTAGTTGCTGTTTGCGATGCTGCTCCAGCAATGTGCATAATACTCCCATTGATATTAAGTACTAGACATAAAATGTGAAAAATATAATTAACATAATTAATATAATTAAAAAATATAATTTATTCATTAAATTATAATTTAACTTTCATACCTGTTGGTTGCGCTTGTTGAACTTGGCCTTCTAATTGTACTGGCTGATAAATATATGTTTGTCCATCTGGAGTCTGAATGATTTGAGGTGTTTGTGGTTGTTGAATTACAATTTGTTGGCCTGTACTGGTTAAACTAGACATTGGAACAACTTGTATCTGTCCATTTGGTGCTGCCACTTGTATAGCTTGTGGTAACATCATCGCTTGACCTCCTTGTCCCATCTGAACAACTTGAACAGTTCCTCCGGCACTACCAACCACCACTGCCTGTCCTTCTCCCAGTTGCTCCATTGTAAATTACTGCTATCGCTAAACAGAAGACATTGACCTTACAACAACAAAAAATATGATACAGTATTATTGAGAAGCAAGTTAATGGTAAACTAAGTGTAAATCCTTTAATGGAAAAAGAATATTTAGTGTAATACAGTAATGTAAGAACAAATTTGTATATACACGTGAACTCATATACATCAAAGTTATATGAATCATGTAAGAGAACTTTCATGTTCGTTGTAACAAAACGAAGATAAGTAAATAAAATGTGTTAAAAGGTTAAAAGATTCTACGATTTTTTTCATCCTGTTAAATACATTTTGTGTCTCGTAATCATTGATAAAGATCGCCAACGTGGCGAGCACGTTAAAGTTTGAAGAGTCCACGTGCAGAACGTTAGATACATAGAAAAGAGAATCGAGGCCAGACAGCGATCATCACCTTCTGTCGGGCAGAAATCGGTCCCGAAGGATATTGCATCCTGTTCTCGATGGCATAATTAACCTCGTATTTTCGTGAGCCTTAACGCGCGACGAACATCGACGTGCGAAACGGAGGCCAAGTCTGCTGTATTGTATTCGGGACGCGGTGTGCCTGGTATGGAACGACGCGAATTTTGGACGAGAAACGCTCGTCTCGACAAACATGGCCGTGCAGAAAGACTTTTTCAAGCACAAGAAGACACGGGTTCGCAGTTAAAACAGGTCACAAAACGAAAACGCTGTTAATCGTACAACGGTGCGCGGTCGTACGCGTACCCCGTTGATGTTTGATAATTTGTGGACTTACATTGGATATTTTCGTGGGCACTTTCCCAATGATTGGTCGGCAAATTGAGGACCAATGGTCGGCGATAGAGAGTCCTCGGCTCTTGTGTATTGGTGGCACTGAACGGGGGGACCTGCCAGTCCGATAGCAGCCCGATGCCAGACCGGTCGATGCCCCTCCGCGCCGCGACGCGCCTAACCAATCTACTGGCTTGACTTATCCCCACCACCTATTTCCCGCGCTCTCATCAAACTTCGCGCGTTCCTAACAGCTTATTTCCCGCTTCCTTTTAAATCGATTTACCGATGTATCCATCCATAATGATCGCCGTGAATCCTTCACGCTCTTTTATTAAACAAAATTTTATAATAAATTATCTGTAACAAAGCTTACAACATTTAGAAGTAAACACTTCGTATTCAATAATTGGGAAATGAAAAGCACAAAATTGTTGGAACATTTGCACACAAAAGAAGATATACTTTTTCTTTTTTTAATATATTTCATGAGATAATAAATGACCAATATTGACAATATTGACATATTTCATATGTTTCTATGTATGTATATGTTTAATCAGAAATTAATTCGTTTTTACAATTTTTAATAAACTATAATTAGTAACATAACAAGTGTAGCTTAAACAATGTTCAATCATTGTTTATTATTGATTACAATTTTTATTTATTATTCACAAAATAATATACAATTTTACAAGTGATACTATTTATTTGATGCATATAAATCAATAGAGTGATACTGGAGTATGATAATGACTTATAATTTTAAAAGATCATAAGACAATTATAAGATTAATAAATTTTGATAAACGAAATACATACAAGAGATGATATATAAGAATATATTAATAATTTATGTAAATATCACATGTGTATATTGAAATTGGGAATTTCTCTCATGTAGCAAAAACAAAATAAAAAGGACAAAACATGTACAATATAAAAAAGATAAAGATGTGGTTGTTAACCAAAATATACATTTTAATGTAAATAATGAAACATATTCCAGTCGCGTTTATAAATATTGATTGTTTCTGAGTCTACATCTCATCTATCATATTTTATAATGCTTTTATGGTTATATGGAAATATGTTCAGTGCTGATGCAATATTAAAAAAAAAATTAGTTTAATGAAAAAAGAAATTGATTTAATAAAAACTTAACATGCAAATTTTTCGTGTAAGAAATAATAAAGTTATAATAATTGCGTATATTAAATTATGACAAAATAGCCCTTTTATATTGTTTCTTGATATACATCATAATGAATATTAATAACAGTGATTTATCTTTTTACAGTATTATGTATAAATTATGGAAAAGCACTACCAAATTCAGCTCTTTCGTTAAAAACTGGTCGTTTGAAAATACCTTAACTTGTAACATTTTAAAACAATTTTGTATATTCAGAAACTGTCAAGCCATTTTAACATGTTATCAAGAAGTAGTACCTGATTTTCCATCTATAATACACCACATCATGTTAAATCAATATTCATATTTAAGTAGAATCTGAAATAAATTCAGATCAACTTATTGAAAATTGATTTTGGGAAATTTTTTAGTGTCATGTAGTACAATGATTTTACTCAAGCAAGATGTAATCCTGCTGAGGAAATGCCAAAAGATCACGATAAGAAAGGAACTACTAAATCTTCTTTGTGTTCAACATTAACATCTTCTAGTGCCGTCACAGCCTTATTGAGCATTTTTGTAATCTACAAAGAAAAATTAATTAATTTAGCAAATTATAAATATGTGATAGAATTTTGCATTACATATAATATATATTTACCAGCTCATGATCTCCAGCAGAAAGTGGTTCTGTTGCCAATATTTTTTCTGGAGCAGGAACATCTTTTAATAGGCAAGATGTGCTATCAGGGACTTTAATACCTCCTGCTTCTATGCGTTTGGAGTATGCACGTGACCTATCCATATATTCATGCTGTTCCAGGTTATGTGAATCTAATGCCCCAACATCTATCACATTACTGAAATGAAATATTTTAATATAATTAATTGATCTTTAATTGTGATCTTTAAAGATATACAGAATAACTACAGAAAAAGCAACATAAACATAAGAACTAAGGAAGGCAAGCAAACACTCACGCAGCTGTTTCATGTAAAATTCTATTTAATGCACTTTGTTCGTCAGTTTTCTTGGGTGCTGAACTTGCATACTGATTAACATAATCATCACTGGAAAAAAAGGAACGAAAAAGCTTTAATAACCCTTATTCAATGCTACCACATATCAATATATACAAAAAATATAACACACCTGTGTACTCTAGGTATATTTGTATTATTACTGACAGGATCTACTAACAAATGTGTTCTTTCATTTACTTCTCCACTCTAGAAAGATAAACAGAGAAATTATGTTTTAATTAATTAAAATTTAAATATTTGAATTTGATTTCAACCTTGTAAATGCAAATCATACAAAAATATAATATACATAATTATTTCAGTCTTATATATATAATACAAAAATAGGCGGAACTGCGATAATAGTTTGAATGTATTCCTTATCGTATCTAATGTTGTGTGATACGTTAAAATTCCGAAACGTCTCACACGAATTCTATATAAAAAAAACTATTACCTGTGGACCGCTGTCTTCTTTACAAAAACTGTAACAACATCCCATGCTTATAACGAATTACTAACACTTTATAGCCAGTAACACGTATTGCTACAATATATTATTTTTAATCTTCATTCCTGTAAACAATCAAACGAATCACTCAGCTCTAGATGTACCGATACTGCGCTTCAATCACTATCCAGAAATAAAATATATTGTGAAGTGTGACAACCTTTTTAAACCAGATACGAAAACGCTTACAGAAAGGACATGAACATGCAAGGTTGCTCTGGTGGAATTTATAACGTACTAAATCGAATAACATAACCTTAAATATTTTCACGATAACGAGTGTTCGAATTTATCGTATTACGTTGTATCATTATTCATCAAGATATAAAACTTGATTTTTTATTATGTAATATCGCATTTGATTTATATAGAATTGTACATGTTATGTCATTCAATAAAATAATATACAAAGATAGAAAAGGAAATGATTTTACAACTTTCTATATAAATTACATATTATTCATTTGTATTTTGTTCTCTAAATAAATACTGAAATATATTTTTCTAAATTATAATAATATAATGATGGTACCATAGTATGTCTAAATCTTATTAAATTTGTATTGTAGACGAGTGGTACTAAAAAAAAAAAAAAGAAAATTTAACTGAAAGTTATCACCTCTACATCACATCAACATGACAAATACTAAGGTACTTCATTTACTTTTTAATTTATTAATATACTACATATGTATATAAATGTAATATCTTTAATATACAATTTTATTTTCAGGAATCAGCAGAACTACAAGTCTTTAAAACAGTATTATTTCACTGTTTAGTGATAATAGCCTTACCTGTATTCTCATTTTTTACTAGCAAGGTTTTTATTTTTGATGGTATGGAAACAATAGTACTATTAAAATATTTAAATTTTCTACATACATTTCAAAAATTATATTTTTATGAAGATATTTAATGAATGTAGGAATTATCATTGTTGTTCAAATTTTTAATCTAATAGCCAATATTTTATATTTTTTATGTACAACACTTAATGAATTGGAATGTTACATATAAATTACTTAGTATAGTACATATTAATGTACTTTTAATTATTATCTTACTATATATTCGTGATATACACATATCATTGTTTTAAACATATCTTTATATATTTTAGGTTTATTGGGACTTAATCATGTACCAAGCAACGTGTATTCAGCTGGAGTTGCAATCCTCGTTTTACACGTAGCTCTGGGCGCTTTCATATATCGTGCATATTTCGATGATCAATCGAAGACACAGACGAAGCGAGACTAATAATTTTTTTGTGTTTGAAACACATATAATTAAGTACACTTTCTTGATAACACATTTATTCGTGTATAATCATTGGAAGAAAGATGTTACATTGTATTGCATTACATTTTGCAATTGCATACTTTTTTGTTAATATTTAGATATTTTTCTCTTTTTTTTTTTTTGTTGAATACTGTGACATTGTGTAAAAGGCAAATATAACTGTAATTGTATCAATGAAACATAATTACTAAATAAAAAAAGCAATGACATTCCTACGCAATATTTGCATATTGTACAGCACAAACTTTGCAATCTATATCTATATGGAATATAATTTCATTACACATTTTAGTTTTATATTTGAGAAATCTTGCAGTAAATTATTTTATAATTTATAGTGCCTCAATACACGTCAAATGGATAAATTGTAGTGCACTTTACGATCACAGTACTAGATCAGGGGCAAATTTATATAATCCTTTAAAGTTTTTAGGCTGACAATTTCGGCAGTTATTCAAAAGGATACAGATGCGAATTTTTAGAGAGAAAAAAAATACAAAAAATTATTACAAAAGCTTGGTGTAAATCTGCCCCTAATGATATTGAATAGTAGCCATGTATTTTTCTGTTTTTAAGGAAGAATAAATAACAAAATGAATTGTGATTAATATACAACGCAACCACTGATTTTTTTTTTTTTTTTTTAGTACCAATAAAGAACCCTTGCAAGAACTATGAAAAAAAATTTATCAAATTAATTAGAACACAATTCGAAAGAGAAAACATTTTACTTTTATGAAAAACTATGTACAATATATCTAACTATAATTTCATTTATAGAAATTTTATGTCATCAAAACTTTGACAAAAAGTTGAATCATAAAATGTATACGATTTGCAGCTTTTTTAAACATTCGAAGCCATAAGCAAATCCTAAAACAAGCTTAATAAATTCCTTTAATGAAATATTAATTTATTTAAGTATCTTAAATGCAACAAAAGTTTATGTGACAGAATATTTTGCTGTCGGCCTGGGAAGTGTTGGAATGAACGCTTGTATTTTTAAATACATAAAATCGCCAGCGATATTAATTACTTCACAGTTTAATTTAGTCACTAGCTTAATACTTGTTCTATACGTTGTAAAGTATTGAATCATTTTACTGGCAATAAAATCAGGGATCTCTTTTAGAGTATTCCACCAATAAAAATTTTGTTATACTTTTTTTAAAAGGATATTAAAGATTGAAGAATTTTTGTTATTAAATTAAGAAATAAGATCATTACAACCTGTTTTTAATTTGGTTGGTTATTTTTCATAAATAAATCAAACTGATATACAAGTGTCAAAAAAAAATTTTATCAATGTAAAACAAAATTTTGAAATGTCAGCACCAATTTTTTTTATATTCTATTAATCTTTATTTATCGCAATTCACGAAATGAAATAATTTGAACGCAAAATATACATGTGCATACTTTTTTAAATGATTTATAGAAAAAAATTCTTCAAAGTTCAATATACTTAATGATAATCATTTATAAATAGGTCAACATTATATGCACTAAATTGTGATGGATAAAGAAAAGAAAAGACACTCGCATATACTAACCAAAAACATATCAGGCGCTTTTGTGACATGATAAAAATGAGTTGTGTGATGACATAATTTTCATTATTTTAATCATGGTAGATTTAATAATATCAAAACACATAAAATAGGATGATTGTTACTCAACATCCATTTTTTCTTCTTGGGGTTGTTGTTGCTGATTGGTCTGAGAATGACCATCACCTTGACTACTTTGATTATTTTTTTGATGATCTTCAGCGGTTTTGTCTTTAGGTTTCTCTTCTTTTGGTGGCTCAACTTTAGGTTTTGGTTTATTTAAAATTGGTAATACAATACTATCCAATGTCTGTAAAATAAAAAGAGAATATGTAAATGATAGTCTATACAAATGTATCTTTTATGCAATAAATTTATTATGTGTTTCAAATACCAATTTCTCTCCACGAATTTGAGCTACAGTAACTGGCGGTTGTTGTGTACGAGGTGTACCAGCAAGAAGTACGCGTTTTTCTTCCAGCCACGTCCACTTTTCTTGTACTGCTTTTTCAACTTTTTTTATCTCTTCTTCTGTTAAATGAGAATATTTATCATCTTTTCCACTGGATGCTCTAATGAGATCTACCCCTTTCTTAGCAAGTTGCAAAGCTCCTGCTAATTCATCTAGTGCATGGCCTCTACCTTCAAACTCCATTCGTCTTTCTTTGATTGGTTCGCCTTGTGACTAATAAGAGACACATAATTTTTAATTTCGAAGCAAAAATCTCAATATTATTACAAAATAAATATAACTTACTTTAAGACGTGTTAATCGTTCTGAATAGATTTGTCGTTGACAATCTTCACCTTCCTCGTACAACCAATTTTCGGTTTCATCTAACGTACGGCAAAGTGATTCTTTGTCTGTTTCTGTAATAAATGTGGACAGCTGATCCTCCTCCGATAACTTAGCACGTAAATCATAAACATATTCTTCTAATGCATTACGGGCATCGATACGTTCTTTTTCTTGTTTATCTTCGGCAATCATCTTGGCCTACGATTCAAAAAATAAATAAATTAATACAAAATATGTGAATTAAAAAAATTATATTTACAGTTTATAATAAACAGTTTACCTCTTTTTCTAACGCAGCATCTAAGTCACGTTGAGAAAGTCCACATTCACGCATATCCACTGGTAAATCAATAGTACGAATAGGAACTTTCTTTTTACTTTTGCTTTCATCATTTTTATCGTCACCCTGAAAAATAATAATGTATTAATATAAAATACTTTTATCCGTCTAAACATGCCTGCAACAAAAATTTATATCAAAACGTATTTTCTTCTCATTGTAGATGTTAAGAAGTACATAAACATTTTTTTTATCAAGCATTCTTAACATTTTAAAAGATGATTTCTTATCCTTAATACAATAAATTTTACATGAGAGATAAAATAAATATAACAATGTCATGATGAAACTTAAACATTTTAAACAAAGACACACAAACTGGAAGTCAGGTGATGATAGAAATGAGTAAAGGACAAAGAGGGGCATTATTCTTATGCGAGCAGTTTTCAATTCGCTATGTTTCAATTTCAAAATATATTATGTACATACCTAATGTATTTTGAAATTGGATTTAATATGGAGATCATTTACTTAAAATATTCGAATTGGAAACTGAACCGCATTGCCTGCCTTTACAATTTTAGCACATCGATAATTAATTATTGCATTGTTAAAAGTTACTGTCCCTTTTCCTTCTGCGACCCAGTAAAAAGAATAATTGAGCAAAGACAGACAGCACGGCGTGACACAGCTGTATCTTGGACCCATATGCATCAAAACACATTACATGAAATTATATTATGCATATGTTTATATTGACAATCTTTTTAAAATTAAATAAAAATTTAGTTATTTTTTTCTTATATATTGCTTATTAACCGAGTTTGCAGAAGAAATCGACACAGATTTAAAATTTTTGAACTAAATGTCATGCACTAAAGAAACTACAATATATAGGAAACTTCTAGTTCATAAATAATTTATACTAAATATACACAGATCAACATGAAGTCTGATTAATTTACAAATATATTCAAAACATTAAATAAGTATAGAATAAATCACAAACTTCACATTGCAGAACGTATTTAACATTTTTAAATTTAAGTTCTTTTAACATGATAAAATGTGCTTAAAAGATTTTTTGAGATAATGAATAATAACATATGCAACACGCGATTCTCACATCATGCAGGACAAGTTTATGACTGCAATGATCTTATAATAGATAATTGACGATGCTGACGTGATGAAAGAAATAAAAGACTTATGCCACTTTTACACACGACAAGCTCATCGCGTAGCCATTGATGACTTATAACAATAGAACAATCTAAGCAGAAGTCATAAATTATTGCACATGTTTCAGTTAACATATGGGTCCAAGTAATGATAGTGTGTCGCGTACCGAGCTGAGCCAAGAGAGAATCCTGGAGGAGTAGGAAGGGGCAGAACCCCTCGCACCTCTTCCACCATCATCAGCATCTGAGTTCCGTCGCGTTTTATCCATGCTCACCTAAACCACAACAAACTCACATAGTCATGCATCAGACACTCAAAGCATGAATACTGTATTTCTACAAAGTTTATTCCTGGGAATAATGAATTTAGCGAATTTAGTTCACAATTCAGTGTAATGTAATTGTTATTTACGCAATAAACCTTTTCTTTCAGATTAATAGAAAATGATTTTGGAGATGTATAATTTAAATGAAAGGTGAAGCAACAACGAATATACATACTTCAGGTGCCGGTGGTTCATTTGCTTGTGCTTCTTGATCAGACTTATCTTTCTTGTCTTGTTGCTGATCGACATCCATGTTATTTTGTTGTTGCTGCTGTTGCTGTTGTTGTTTCTCTTCTTCTTCCTTTTCTTGTTGTGTGAGTTCACGTTTCTCGATCAACGAAGCCGAGACAATAGTAAGGATTCCATTCAAATTTATCCTTACTTTTACTTTTACTTTCGACAACTCACCTTCTAGTGTTGGTTTCACGTTCTTTATTGTATATGTACCTATAAAAATGTTATTCGTTAGAGAAAAATATTATTAATTATTAAAAAAGGAGAATTAAATGCATACCAATGTAAGTTTGGGAATATGATGGTGGTGGTACAGTATAACTAGCAGTTAATGTAAATGGGTTTGAGCGATAAAATGTCAATGTTTTTGAGAACGGTATAGGATGATTGTGTCCAAAGATTTCCATTTCACTAAAATAATAGATAACACAGAAATCAGGAAAAGATTTTCTTATTTAAATAAATATTTAAATATTACACGTAAAATATGAATATTGACATACCCATCTTCTCCTTGTGTAGGATCCCATGTTAATTTTAAAGGATATGGTTGAATATCAGTCACTGAGAAGTCACGGACTCTAACAGCGGGACTCAACATTGCACACTGAAGTGCGCATCCTCGTGCAACTGCCTCGTCTTGATTTAACGTCGTAGATACAGTACGACCAAAAATTTCTTCAACCAAACGTTTGATTGCAGGAACACGACTAGAACCACCCGCTAATTCAACTGAATGAATATCTTCTAACTTTAATTCTACAAAAATAATTACAGATTAGTATATAAGAAAATGAAAAATATATTTTTGTAAATCTAAATTACACGTAACAACATATGTATAAAAAGAATGAAACATACTAGAATCTTCAAGGCATTGACGTAGAGTTGATTCAACGCGTTTAAACAAATGTGCACACATTGCTTCCATATCTGCCCGTTTCATTTCACCATGTACATCTTTTTCATCCATGAAACATTCAATATTAAGAGGAAGCGTTGTCGAATTAGCTGACATTTGTTTCTTCAATTTTTCTACTTCTCCTAATAGTCTTACATATGCACGTGGATTGGTGTGAGGATCAATATTATATCGTGATTGAAATTCTTTACAAAAATGTTCTGCTAAAATAGAATCTATATTCCTTCCACCTAATTGACTATCAGAAGAACTTGCTATCATCTGGAAATTACGCAAGTCTATAGAATTGTTTCTCATTAACCCCGGGATTACCCACGTGGGGGTCTAGTGCCGGGATGTACCCCAGGTGGGTAATCCCGGGTTAACTTCATTTTGCTATTATCAATGAATACGACTATTAAAATACTCACTTTCAGCTTTCCTTTATGGAATGCACAAATGCTTACTTGTAAGCTTGCATATCCACAATCAACAAACACTATATGTCTTGGAGGTGCATCAGGTGCTGGTAAATCTTGTTTATAAATACCATAGCACAAAGCAGTAGCTGTTGTTTCATTAAATAATCTAAGAACATTTAAACCAGCAATCCGTGCAGCGTCAAGCAATGCCTGACGTTCAGCTTGTGTGAAATATGAAGGAACAGAAATAACACAATCATTAACAATAGTTTGAAGAGCAGTCTCAGATATACTCTTTAACTTTGTAAATAACATTGCAGTTACTTGTTCAGGTGAGAAAATGTGTTCTTCTCCTAAATATTGTACCTAAAATTTAAAAATAAATATAAATACCTTTGATTACTTAACTATTAATTACTTGTATCATTATAATCTTTACTACACAAATTACATGTGATGTGATTCATCATGTTTTAACTGCTCTAAAGAGATATAAATAAGATATGAGTGTCCACAAGTGTGAGAAATCTGGCATGATGCCCAGATTAAATCTAAGTAACATTTAAAACCATGTGAAAAAATAAAAAAATACTCGTTATTTTTTCACAATATTTTGATACATTTTTTCATAATAATATAATATAACTTTTGTAACTTTATAAACTAGTTATATATGTTGCAAAGTATTACTAATATAATTACAATTTTTAACTTTTACTGTTTGTATAATAGAAAAAAAATTAATTCTATATTTAAAAAAACAAAAACTTACATGTATTCCAATACTTCCATCTGACTGATGAGTCACCTTAAAAGGTAACATTTGAAGCTCTCTTTGTACCTGCGGATCATTATATTTTCTACCCAATAATCTTTTAAATCCATGAATGGTATTTTTCATATTGGTCACCATCTGATTCTTAGCTGCTACACCAAGAATTCGATTTTTGCCACTGAATGCTACACATGATCTAAAATCAATATTTATATCTAATAATCTCAGTACAAATATGAATTTCACTTATCACAATATAAATATAATTCACTTATGAATAAGTATGTGTACATCAATCTAATACATTATAGCTAAGTTACTTCTAGAATAATCTAAATTATCTAGAACTATCTACTTTTCATGTTAGAGAATATATTAAAAAATAAAAAATTACAAATTTATCATTTATTGTTACAGCAGAGAATTTAATAATAGTAATAAAATATTTAAAATTATAACATCATAATAAAATGTTTAATATACTTTTATATTATAGTATATTTACAAAGATGAAATTAATGATAAAAATGTGATGTTCGATATTTTAATAATTGATGATAAAAATTAATTAAATTGAACTACTATATATACATATTTTTTAATATTTTTTTACAAATATTCTATCTGTTTTACGTATTTTATATATATTACGTATTTTACTAATAACGAAAAACAAATTATAAACATCGTGACAATTCATTTACATAACAATATGAATGTAAAACAAATGATCAATTTACAAATGAATAGTACATACGAATTCGTAATATAATAAAAGCAAATAATATTTCCTATAATTTTTGTATACAAAGCATAACTAGCATAGTAATAACGTAACGCATTTATTCATTATATTAATTCTGACGTAAATAGATTGCAGACTCACATGACTACACCAATTTCAAATCAAGAAAAAAAAAAAAATAGCTCGCGGATCATAACCCACGCTATGGACTTTTTTGTACTTCTTAGTCATGTGAAAGTGAGCAGGTACGCTCAAATAGACGAAATGATTTGGACATAAATGGCAATGATCGAATAATACATCGTCATCCTCACTCTACTATTCGAGCACGAAAATGAATTATACATCGATGTTTTGAAACTGTTCTACCACTATTCTTTACTAAGATTCTCGAAAGAATCGAAAGGAAACAAGAGGAACACCTGAAGCAAAAGGACACCGGGTGAGCACCCGGTATCTTCCTGTAAAACTGGAAAAATTAGGAAATGATCGTCACAGTAAGAGAAACTTACGGTGTACTTCGAAGACTGTAATCATTAGCTATAGTTTCAATGCCTCCAGCGCGTGCTACAGCCACATAACAGCTTTCGTTACCAAAGTCAATCCCGATTACGGACATAGCAGCCATGGCTGATAGACTGGGTACGACGTTTTCCTTACGACACTGAACAAATTATTGCGTGTAAATCGCTGATTCAACGTTGATCCTTAATAAGGATGGACGAGTGATCGATAAGTCGTTTAGAATACGCGTTGATGATTATCGTATATGATAGGCCCACGACCACTATAAATCCTTGCTCCCTCACTCACGCAATAGACGAAATGCCCTCCGTACGGTAACTCTGATTATTTCTTTCTGCTAACTTCTGCTGAGAATTCACCAATCATGGCGCTGCGGTGCAGAACTCCTATTGGCCAGTCAGTTGCTCTGGAACATTCTGGAATTATGCGCCATTGGAATCTTCCTTTCGGACGTCGTCGTTTCGTTTCGCTTCGTTTCTCGAAAGGTCGAAACTAATGGATCGATGTAACGACATATTTCGCCAGAATGGAATTACCAGGTCTAGATTCGCGATGATTAATCGCACGAACACTGCCCAATTAATTTCCCTTTTTGCCCGCGTAGTATCTCTCAAGGATTTTGAATTTATATATAGTATACTTTGCGCATCCGTATGATTGGTTTGCACGGCAATATGTCTGTCGTGAAGCAAATTTCGAATTACCGTAATTGCAAATATTAAGCAACGAATCATTTTACGAATATTCACGCTATTTATGATTCTTTTATGATTGTCGTAATAACGATTATATGTAATAATGTAAGATTACACAAAACATCGACGTAATATTTACTTGGAGTTACAATAAATAATTACGAACATTATACGTATTATATTTTGTACGCATGCATGTAAAATGTATACGAAATTCACAAAAATGTTTATATCGACTGTATTAACGTAATCGGAAAAAAAGAGTTAATATATTCGTATTCGTAAAATATGTACACGTGCGTATGTACTTATATCCTCTGCGTCAATGCAATTTCACAAAATGTTACATGACATGTTGCGTCTGTACACAAGAGCGTGATTTTGATGCGATGTTCAAATAAAGCGATCAAAAACGTAAATGTAATGCGAATTGTATTATTGTATGGATTATTGGCAGTTATTCAATGAATTTATATATCGATATACTGGTAATAAGTAGGTAGTAGATATAATTGTGCAAGATAAACATCATATGGTTCAAAGGCACAAGTATATGAGATCATACACGTATGTAAAATGTCGCGTCTATGTAATTTAAAATTTTGTTCGATTATAAAAGGGACTAAACATACGACAGCTTTGATAAGCAAAAAGAGTCTACGCACAACAAACGAAACACAAAATGTGTTCCATGAAAGCGGTAAAGGTTATGCCGATCTCTATTGGAAGTTTGAGAAACATATTTACCCGTTGTACAAATGTTTGGATATAATTAGATTAAAGGAAATTCGTCCTTTATTGACAAGAATGAAAATCTTGCGAACTAAGTATGACATCAATCATGAGAAAAAGAATTTCAAGAGCTTGGGATTTATATTAGGTGGCATTGGCATAACCATAGTTCTTTGCGAAGCCAAAAATCACAGAGGTATGTATTACTTATATCATTAATTACATATGAACATGAAATTGATTGATTTTTGATTAATAATTTTGTTTGATCAGATAAGCAGTTTTTCCGGGCTGCAAAATATGGCAACATTCTAGAATTAACAAATGTGAGTATAAAGAAATATTCTGCTATAGTGTCAACGACTAAGAAACTTGTCTGTTTGTAGATTATAAAAGAAGGTATTGATGTAAATATGCGTCATCCATTGGGTTGGACAGCATTACATCTTGCTGCTATTAACGCAAAACCAGAAGTTGTAAAACTTTTGTTAAAACATGGAGCAGATGTTAATGCTCCAGATGAATTCATTAATGTCTATGGGACTGCCATAGAAAAGGGATTACATACATTAGATGGTACGAAAATAAAACAAATTATAGTAGTTAAGTAAAAATGGATTTTTATATTTTCTAAGCTAATGCATAAATTCTCAATTTTGCAGTGCTTGCAATAAGGGAGGAAGAGTTTTGTGATCAATTGAACAGTAGAGCCACCTTCAAAGGTTGTACAGCGTTACATTATGCTGTATTGGCAGACTCTGAGGCTTGTGTGCATGCATTATTAGAAGCAGGAGCTGATCCAACAATGAAAAATGAATCAGGACATCGTGCAGTAGAATATGCTAAAGATGGAGCGCTCAAAGAAATGCTTATAAAACGTGCGATAAAATATGATGAAATAATGAAGGAAAAAGTACATATGATTAAAACCAAGCTTTGATTTTTACATTATGCTATTTTTGATCCATTTTTTTACCTGATATTGTAAACAGGAATTAGAAGAACGTCGTAGATTTCCACTAGAGCAACGTTTGAAACAGTATATTGTTGGACAAACTGGAGCAATATCTATTGTTGCATCTAGTAAGATTTTATACAACCAACCATCTATATATAAACGTGTGTAATATTTTTTGTAATGCTTTGTCTAATTACAGCTATTAGGAGAAAAGAGAATGGGTGGATAGATGAAAAACATCCCCTAGTATTTCTTTTCTTAGGTTCATCGGGAATTGGAAAAACTGAATTGGCTAAACAATTAGCTGCATATATACATAAAAATAAACAGGAAGGATTTATTCGATTAGACATGTCTGAATATCAGGAGAAACATGAAGTTGCCAAATTGATTGGTGCCCCACCAGGGTAATCTTTATTTACATCAAGTTACGTATATGGTTTCCACGTTATAAATATTTAGATTTTTTTTTTTTTATTACATTAATTAGATATGTGGGTCATGATGATGGTGGACAATTAACAAAACTTTTAAGGAAATGCCCAAATGCTGTGGTATTATTTGATGAGGTTGATAAAGCTCATCCTGACGTATTGACTGTTTTGTTACAATTATTTGATGAAGTATGATTACTTCATATTATATGTACTTTATGTATTATATACTTTATAATATACGATATCAAAATATTGTGTCAAAATGAAAATTTGAATCTTTTTAGGGAAGACTTACCGACGGTAAAGGTAAAACAATCGAATGCAAAAATGCAATTTTTATAATGACATCGAATTTGGCAAGCGAAGTAATCGCTGATCATGCGGTACATCTTAGAGAAGAAGCTCAACGTGTAGTAGATCAAAAATTGGACAAAAATGTTGATATAGAAGAGGATCCAGAACATGTTGAAATATCTCGTAATTTTAAGGACGAAGTAGTATGTATTAATTTCAGTAAAATATGTTTTTAACATTTTGGAGACAAATTTTTTTTTTTTTAAACATTCTCTTTATAGGTGAGACCAATATTGAAGTCACATTTTGGTAGAGACGAGTTTTTGGGCAGAATAAATGAAATCGTATATTTTTTACCATTTTCTCAATCTGAACTTATAGCATTAGTCGCAAGAGAATTAGAAGCTTGGGCAGATCGTGCGAAAAAAAGGCATAAAATAGAATTGAAGTGGAATAGAGAAGTTCTATCACTTTTGGCTGAAGGATACGATACCCATTACGGAGCACGTTCTATTAAATACGAGATTGAAAGACGCGTTGTTAATCAATTAGCTGCTGCTCATGAAAGAGGCCAATTAGGTATGTCAATTATCATTAACACGTAAAAAGAAAGATTTCTGTCGAATTTTAATGAAATATTGTTTTTTAAGAGAAAGGATGTTGCGTATTACTTAAAGTTAAATGGAATAAAAATAACGCAAATATAGCGTTGTCAATACGACGCAAAGGTGCTAAAGATTTTGTCGATCTTTCTACAGAGAATTTAACAAAAAATATAAATCCTGCATTTTAATACTAAATTTAAAAATTACATATTAAAAATTACTTTGGATGTATAATTTGAACAAATGTAGAAAGTGTATTATATCTCATAGTGCGTATAAATAAAGAAATTCGGAACCTTTTGTATTATTTATTATAGAGATGAAACAACCTTTGTAATAATAATATATGTTTAATAATATGCAACAGTTTTGAGATCCAAACCAAAATGTAAATAAAGGCGATAAAATGTATCATGTTCGAACAAATTTCTACAATACTTTCTTTATCACATCCTATCCTTTCTTTCTAATATGTAGATGAAATGAAATATACGATTCTGACGGAAATAAGTAATTCTTTATTTTAAATCGAATCATAAGGTTACATTACAAGAAAATATCGATTACACTTCACATTTAAGATACATTGTACATTCTTTACGACGTTAATAAGACAAGAGATATTCTCGAAATGTTTAGAAAACCAATTGTGGAAACTGTTTCTCTGCCTTGCTTGTCAATCGTCTCGCAATACCGTAAATTTCATTAATTTCTTTAATTATTTGTACGACGATCAGAATCAGACTACCGTTGTTAAGAGAAGTTTCAACCACTGGGAATAAATGCGTTTAGTTGCACCAATTTTCGTTTAGTTGCACCATTATTGTGCAAGGCAAATTCAGGTCCGACAACAGGGTGTCTATTTGTGTATTGTAAAAAGTAGCTGAAGTAATCGACGTGTGAGATAATTTTTGAAATCGGCGCATGAGAGTTCATGGTAGAAATACGATAAAAATCTGGCGTTTACAGAGAGAGTTTGTTTCGTTTTTTTTTTTTTTTTTTTTTAGGAAATACGGGAACATGGAATTCATGTAGTCTTTAAATATCGTCACAGTTATAAGTATGTACGGAATGTTAAAACCGCGTACTGTATTAGACACCCAAGATGATTGTACACGGTATACATATAAGAACATCTTCATATGTATATAATATTAATATATGTGTGTGTATATATATATACACATATGTATGTATATATATAAATACGTCTTTTTTTTTCTTTTAATATAAATACCACGTACCATATGCGGTATATATATATATATATGGGATATAATAGAAATACTGTTAAGTATAAGGTAAGCGTACGATTCGGACCACGCTCATAGTTAGTTAAGCGTTTCTTCCCAACAAACTTTTCTTCAACACCAATTGTTACGTTTCACGTAATCATATTATATTTACTTATAACATACTTAACGATGATCAACATTTAATTTTAATTCTTTCTTTTCGCCAGGTAACGTTTGTTACATCATCAATATTTCTCGCAACCAACGGATCAGAAACATTTAAATCGCTGTAATGCACTGTACTCTAAAATATTTATAAGTACGGCAGATTCCTTAATCGAACTCTCTTAAATTAACAATAAATAGATCTAAGCTCTGGAATTTTCAAAATTATTAATATATATGATATGATAAACTTTGGTCGGAAATGTTCACATATTCAATTGATTTTTTTTTTTTTTAGTTTTTCTTCCTCATTATCTTTTTATATAAGTCAGACTTTGTCGTTAATTACACAGAGTTTGATTTATTTGTTTTTCTTTTTCTTTGTTTCTTTAGCAGTGTGGTGAAAAAAGTGTGGAAAAGTGTGAAAAAAGAACGCAATAAATTGAAAACTATATACTCTGTTATTCGGTAATATGTCAGAGGATCTGTATGATATACAGATATCTGTATATCATACATCTTATCATGCGCTGGATAGTTTTAAGACGCCTGTGTCTGAACGAACGTTACACAATAATATTTTTTTGCATTCTGTGTTGCTGCTCACGTATTCGTAAATAATTACGACATTAACAACGATAACGCGATTAGACTATAATTTATCGGAGGAGAATCGTTTTCGTTAGGCTTTCAGTTCGTTTGTAGACTATGTGATTATTTAAACAGGCGCATCCATGCGCGCCTTGTACTTCTCTGAGGTCAATTTTGTTGCATAGTACAAACTTAGGCCTAGGAAGTACATATGTATATACGTAATATACCTCATTTCTCTCCAGTGGTTTCAGACTATGATGAAAAGATCACATATTAGAACTAGAAAAACATATTAATATCTCAAATTATTCATCTCTCTCGTTCTCCTGTCTTTCATTCTTTCTTTCTTTTCTTTTCTTTTTTTTAATTTTTATCTTTTATTATATAACCAACGCGCAAGCAAGTACAGTTCAAATCATCGTTTGAACATATCTCATCTTGAAATTATTTCCTCAGAATAATTTCGTGGTAAGTCTGTAACGGAAAGCATGATGGTGTTTCTTATCGCGTGCGAAGCACGATTATCCATTATCACTGTATATATTTATATTCGTTATCGCGAACAGTGTTACATATCTTGCTGATCGTGTAAAATACATTTAACCGCCAGTAGAAACAAATTATATAAATATATAATTATATATTTGTGTGTATATGTAAGTGTGTGTGCGTGCGCGCATGTAGCGTAGACATGCATAAAACGATTGTCTCCCCCTTCGTACGCAAATTTTCCTCCTCTTTCCTTCCTTAAAATATTCTTCCATCTATATACTTGAGTGTGACACACACGATTTCCTCTTTAAGAAGACAAACGAACTTGTCGTTTATCGCGTTGCGATATCATTTCTCTTTAGACTAAATCATTCGGTCGAAGGTGACGGGAAATTTGGTACAGCGAAATATCATGTTAATGAGGTTCTCGAGGATTGAGGGACATCGATCCTTACAACTCGCTGAAACGGACAACAACGGCGTGTACTTTATATCGCGTTTTTTCTTGTTCGTTAATGGTCTCGAGTACATCCATAAAAGCGGTTTCACATATATAACATTGCTACTCTTGTTTACATATACAGATTATTTTTATCCTCTGATTGTACTTCTTCCGTCAGCAATCCGAAAGGAAGCGGAACGGAACGAAACAGAAATAAAGATTGCGTCCACGTATCCACAAAACGTGCCCGGTTTTGTTTCTTCAGAAGACAATACACGACGAATAGAACATCGATTGACAATTCATTTTCCTCTCTATTTTCCTCTCCTTTTCCTTCCTCCTTTAATGCAACGTGTGCCACATGTCGATGGTTTTCCTCGGCGATTGGGTCATGTGAAGCCAGTGCTCTCTTCCCTGATTTCCTTCCGCCCCCCGAATCACACCCGTCGCTGGACCAACGATACAGGAACCGACGATTACGTTCCCACCGATGAATTCGTTGCTCGAGTCCATCACGCATACCTTGCAAAAAAAAAAAAAAAAAAAAAAAAGAAAAATTAGTTCAGTTGTTTTATCTTTTTCTCTTTGTACGTACTTGGAAGTGTCTTCTAACTTAATATTACCCTCCGATTAATTGCGATGATAATGTTCGACTCGGTGTACAATGAATCGGCGTTTATTCGTAATTTTCAGAATTACATTTACCCTTCCTCTATCATTGTATTTTCATTTTGATAAAACGTCAACATGAATCAGTCTAATTCAAGAGATACTATCTTTGCGACAGGTAATCTCACTTTCATTACAGAAACTGAAAACTTAAAAAGGTCTTCTTTCATCAGTGGACAGTATTTGTATCTCTTTACAATTGTGACACGCTGTGTTCAGAAGTTAATTAGCGAAAGTCGCTTTAATTAAAGTATTCCTCGAATGCAAAGTCTTTGACAATAGAAGGATATTTGCATGGTACACGTTTAAAAAAAAAACTGACTCACATTGATTAGCTTCCGAGCCCTCCACATATTCCACAACCGAGGTAATCACGGGAGAAGAAAGATAGCGTATACCTAATACTGTTTTAACGTTTCCATTTCTGGAATTTTGCTATCGTTGGATCGATCCCTTAGTCCAAGACGTTTGCGAACCACTGATAACGTTTCTCGTTCATCTCGTTCATCTCGTGTTTCTTCCTTGAGGACCTTCGCGAAAACTCATCGATATTCAGCCTGGATTTGCTGTTTGATTACGAGGGTCGCTTGTATAGCTTTTCTCTATTCCTTTAAGGGAGATTTCTTTCAGATTTCCCTCCTTTTAGACACGCTACGATTTTCAGAGTAAATAGATTTTCTATACAAGTAATCTGAAATTTTGTCTTTCTTTTATTACTAATACGAAGTTTAGAGCGACTTTGCAGTGATGCAAGACACATTTGGCAACTAATCCCACTATTTGGCATCATTAATCCCTCTGTACAACAGCAGGCTACTTTTAAATTAGTTGTAAGAGACGGCAATTCGTTTTTATCGACGTCATCCGGTAATTTTTTGGCACCGATAGTCGATTCAATTGTTTACGTTTAGTTGAAGCGATTTGTCCAGAAAAATCACAGTGTTAAAATTGAATAAAAAACGAGTCAATAACAACTGAATCGATCCTTAATTTAGAATTTGTACCTTTTTATTTTCCTAAGTAAATTAATATTAAACTAGATCCTTCGGATCGTATCAAATCGCTGAATTATCGTATCTGAAAGATTCTAAAAGATCAACGCGAGTAACGTTCATCGTATTTGATAATTAACAGATCAATAAATCTTCTTTACTTGCTCGTCCATAAATTTTCACGGAATTGTGTCACCAGCACGCAAAAAGCTGCAAAGTTTAAAACATAAATCTGTCGCTGTTAGAAAATCGCGCGATCCGTTTGCCATGCAAGGATGTAAAACTTCGTTAGGAATTCTCTAACTCTTGCGGATGTATATTCGCGCGGTGGACAAATGAAAACGTATCGACGAAGATTGTTTCGAGCCACACTTTGGATCCAATTCTTTCGAGATTGACGCACGGTTTTGTAGGCGAACTCTCCGCGCAAATCGATAATTTGTAATCGTTGGAATTCATTTGCAATCGGCGAGGTCGCACGTTTTCTAGAACGAAGTCCCGGAGTTCTGCGTTTTTGTGAAAATGGAGTTTGGTTTCTTAAATATTTAATGGGAACGAGATGGAATCATCATCTCGCGTTTAAAATAGCTCGATTCGATATTTTTCAAAGATATGTCATATATATATATATATATATATATATATATATATAATCATTTATTTCCAAGACACTTACTTGAAGCTAATTTTTCTGACAATAACTCTCAAAATAATACTAGAAACCAATTGTCTATAAAAATAACTTCCGAAGCGAATTATTTCAGCAAACGAAAATATTATTTTAAATCTACTGATTTCAATTAAGCTCCACGGAAGCGAATTTATTAAGGTCAAAGGAAGATAATTATCCTTTATCCTCCGATGCTTTGTTTAAACTACATTGATCAATATTAAACGTGACAGATGTTATTGGAAAATGTTTTGAGTTCGCGCGTGACAAATAATGTACAAACGACAGAGAGACGAACGAGTAATAACCATGTACGTGACCTGTACCGTTGCAGCTTCGTATCTTTTTGGATCGTGCTCGAATTAAACAAAAATTCAACGCGCACGTACGCTAAAACCGTCAACGTGCACGTTGATTGCTAAAACAACGTTAACATTTCGAGTCGCTGAAAGAGGTCGCAAAACGCCGTCGATTTTTTCGTTAATGTGATTTTCATTTTAATTCCTTGGATTTGGACGGGAGAGGGAAAAGGGAGAGAAAGATTAACAGACCGCGCTTCACAGTATAAAATTTGAAAATTAAATTCTTTCGCTCGCGCCGGTGAAAATGCGATTTTTTTCCCCCTCTTGTCTCGCAGAGCTGAATAATGTAGTTTGAAATTTTGTTATGCATATCAATCCGGCTGGCCGCTGATTTAAATAACATTTCGAAGGGAGAACCTCGACGTATACAAAAGTGTTCTGCCTTGAGTCTACTGCATTAAGAACCACTTTCGAGTTAATTCCGCGGTGTGTTTGTTTCACGTGCGAATCGAAAGAAACAGAGCCTAACAATGGAGACGTGACGTTAAAGGCTCGGGTTATTATTCACGTGAAACATTCGAAAAATTGTTATTTAAATGACACGACATCTTATCTGATTCGATGACTTGGTTGTTCGAACGATTTCTCTCTAAATTACTTCATTATTTTATGTCGTATTTTGCGCAATTTTTTTCTATAAATATAGTTATAGTTCTATAAATATATAGTTCTATAAACATATGGTTTCTATAAATAATTTCTAATTCTATTTCGTGCACATTGTCAACTGCGTTAGAAATACAAACACATAACGTTTACAAGTTCAGATATATATGCCTGCTTTATTTAACTCTCGGATGAAGCATCACTTTACTACTAATTGCAAATGATTCATTTGATTCGAACACGAGATAAACGAGTTATTTGAAATTGTTATTTTCTTCTTTCTTTTTTCTTTTTTTTATCCTCATTCCGAGTAACATTTGCCCAAATCTGATTTAACAATGTGATTTTAATATCTTTCGTTTATCAAACGTAACGAGGGGAAATTAATTAACGCAGAATTGGAAATATATGAAAAGTTGAATGGGAGAGTGATGCACTTGTGCCACTTTTCGCAAATTAAATTCAACGGATGAAACGATAGAATCTGTACGTTGTTTCAAAGGTATCTGTATGAAAGAGAAAATGAAAATTTTGTAATCTCGCACTTTTCATTTAGTTCTTTGTGATTCACATGAAGATGGAAATTATAAATTATACTACAAAGAGAGAGAAAGAGAGAGAGAGAGAGAGAAAGAGAAATCAAAATTGGATATATTTTCGTACGAGATCGACATAATCATTGTACGAAATATTATGAAATCGCGGTCTCACCCTCGACAATGCTTCTTAATTATCCGGCGCGACAGTTTGTGCATTAGGGTAGCAAGTAGAAAAGCTTGATTGAACGTTAGACGTTATATTTACCTCGATGGCCGATGACGCAAGATAGTTGGCAGGAACGTTAAAGGACATCGCCTCGTTCCAAACGGGGCTGGTGGTCGCTTTTCTCACAGCAGTTTTCTTCTTCTTCACCCTCTTCTCTCCACAAAGAAGATTTACTTTCACGAACGAATCTAAGGTTTCTTTGTCCTGCGTAAAACAATCGGGCGCAGGCACGTGGAATATTAAAACGAATCAATCACTTTCGTGACGCAAATGAATGATAAAACAGAGGTATATTAATTTTAGATGTTAATTAAAAAAGAAACAAAAAAAAAAAAAAAAAAAAAAAAAAAAAAAAAAAAAAAAAAAAAAAAAAAAAAAAAAAAAAAAAAAAAAAAAAAAANAAAGAAAAAAAAAAAAAAAAAAAAAAAAAAAAATAGAAAATACTGAAAGTAGTTTTAACGTTCATTGGATCGTGCAAATAAAACAGCAATGAAATTCGATGGATCGATCGCCAGTTACCTGTGGCGGGAACAGATTTCTGGCCTTTAAAATCTGGACTGTTAGCCGTTCGGCGCTTGGCAGATAAGAGAGCGACAGCAGAACTTCTTGAATTTGTTCGGGTGGCTTCCGTTCACGTTCAATTTCCCCCCAAACTTCCTCGGTCGAGGTAGGCGAATCTAATCGTAAAATATGCAGCGGCACTTTGACAGAACCTACGATGTCGTTCCTGGAGAAACGATCGTAATCGAGCACCTGTTAAAGAGAAAGTTCGACTTGATTAAATCACTGGCGTATCAACCACTCCTTTGTGCGTACAGTTTGAAAGAAAACTTTCCCACCACGACAGATATTTGCAATGCCCGTTGCTTCGTTCGCTGAAAATGTCCTACGTCAATGTTTATCAAAGGATCGATAATGTATCAAAGAAATTTATTTGCATCCCGAAAGAAAAAAACAATTAACTACTAAAAAGTTACTGTTTGAACAGAGCTTTGCTTATATTATTAAATAAAACTATTCGAATCGATACATCGTCACTTCAATTTTTACTGTTTCAAGGTGATCTGTTATCTCTACTAACAATATCCTGAAATAACAAATATCAAATATTCTAATGGCTGGGGGGGGGGGGGGGATTTTAAAAGAACTGAAGGGCAGGAAAATCTAAGTGAATCTAATAGGTAGAATATTAGTAGTAATATTCGTGTTAATTGCCTGCAAAACCAGGATCCTGTCATGAAGTTCGTCGTTGCTGACGGGGAATTTGAATTGTTGATCGAAGAACGGGTTCGTCTCGTTACGGTATATCTGCGTCTGTCGTTTTCTCGAATCTACTTCAGGGCTGAGCGTCAGCTTCACGTAAGGATCGTTGAATCCTCCTTGATCACTTCCAGCCAGATCGTGTGCCTCGATCAGGTGTACATGCAAATCCGATCGATCGAAGTCGTATTTGAATCGCAAATGCAGCCGGCCCAGGCTCTTTCCATTTCTGAAATTAGGGCCAACACGAAGACACGCGTTACTTCTTATCGGGGATGTATATCGAGCAGTTTGAAATCCAAGTACGGAATCGCACACGTATATCTAAAGTCGATAAAGTTCGGTTTGGGAAATCAATATCCGCGAATGTTCTTGTTTTTTTTTTTTTTTTTTAAGTTATAGTAGCGAATATAGTAACTGAAGAAACATGAATCTTTGAAGTCTTTGAAGTTCAGATTTGGTTGTTAAAGTCGAGATGTTGGATCGAGGCAATATTTATATTAACAAAGATTCTCTCTTGATATTTTCTCACCTGACGTCTCCCATCTGGAGTTTGTGATTTTTGAGATGAAATTTTAGGAATTTGAGATATCATTGAAATATCATGACATAAATTATTGTCTGGCTCTTCAGTACACCGTGGATTTCTGTGTATATTTAAGCGTGGAACTTTAAAGTGTGTAAAATTGTAGAGAACGTACGTGATATAAAGAAATACATCAAGTATCCAAGGTATAAGGTGTATAAAAGAATTTTTTTTATCAAGGTTTTAAATTATATTTATATATTATATTCTATATTCTTATTATTATATTTATATATTATATTCTGTATTCTTATTATTATATTTATATATTATATTCTATATTATTATTATTATATTTATATATTATATTTTATATTCTTATTATTATATTTATATATTAATACACGCTATATTTCAGAAAATACGAGTCTGCATAAATTTTCAATGAACAAAGCGTTGAACGTTTATTTTCAAATTACCAACAATTGCAGATCGCTTGGAGTCAGCTAAATGTCAGTTAATCCGAACGAAATTCAATAATATTGAATCCGCGTCAGAATAACACGCGTCGACGAACGTGTTACAAAAATTATATAAAATCCCACGCGATAAATTTCATCGAAACGGAGTATCGAAATGAAATAAAATGCAAAATCGGATCTGTCCTCATCGGTCGCGAAACGCGCAACGACACCGTCTAATAATCGTATTAACAAATCGTGCTCGAAGCACCTAATCATCGGTTATTTTCATTTTACATACTCAGTGATAAACACGAATCTATCTATTGCTTAGTTATATATGTATACATACGTCTCGCATGCCCCAATTAATAAACGTAGCAATACGAGGCGTTAGCATGTGTTCTTTGCCTATTGATCGAGGGATTAATCATCCGCGCCGAAGTCAAATAATAAAATGGCTCGCTTTTCGTATCCGATTGCCGTATATATCCGGTAATTCAATCCTTTCAGACTATGCTATGCGTGTTCCAGGCAGATCGAATCATGTAGGTCATCAGGGGTAATATACATGTGCCTTCCAGAAGCCAAACTGATCGGCTCTATTTTTTTTCCCCCCTCCAATTCAGTTTCTTAATTTTCATCAGACGAATGTCCGATCGACGTTCAATTTTCTCGAAAGAGACGACTTATTTCCTCGAGTTCGTTCGTTGAAAGAGGATGGCCGATAGACAGTGCATTTATAAGAAATTAAAAATATTATGGATACAAAATGTATAAAATAGTCAGAGTCTGAGAATTTGCTTCCACTTCTTTTCTTTCCAGCAACTTTACACAAATGTAAAACTGCACGAGCATTCGAAGTTTGATTGATCATTTTCCTCCGTTCCCTTTCTTTTTTTTTTTTTTTTTTTTTTTTTTTATTTACGTGTCACGTGTCGTAAATAACGAACGTTACGTTTTTGGTTACGTGTTTATTACGTGTTGTCTAAGTGTGTCAATGTTGTGCCGCGTATAACGGAAATGTCCACGAGATGAACGATGCGTAATAATAAAACTATAACGATGCAATTGCATCGCGGATTGTACGGTCGTGATCGCGTTACACTCGACAGTTTTCTTTAAACTGGTTTCTGGAACAAACCGTGTGGCGTCACGGGTTGACATATTATAAACGCGCGGAGGAAACTTTGTTATAAAGTTTCCAAGGGATGGGAGGTAGGAACGTAAGAATGGCAAATGAGCTTATTACTAGGTCAATAGATACTTTCCAACTTCCTTATTAGTTTTGAATACTTGTGATAGTTGGATGCAATGATTTCGAAATGTTCAGTATCCTTTTAATAAATATAAAAAATATATATATATATTATATAAAATTATTTAATATATATATAAAATATATATATATATAAAATATACAATAAAAATTATATAAAATATAAAATATGTATATATTATATAAAATTATTTAACATATATATAAAAAATATATATATAAAATATACAATAAAAATTATATAAAATATAAAAAATATATATATTATATGAAATTATTTAATATATATATAAAAAATATATAATAAAAATTATATAAAATTATTTAATATATATATAAAATATGTAATAAAAAATTATATAAAATATAAAAAAAATATATATATTATATAAAATATATATAAAATAAAATAAAATATATTAATGTTTTATACCAAGATATATTAAAGAAGAAAGATACATTAGAGAAGAAATGTTAAAGAAAAAGAATGCTAAATACTAATGAATAATAACAAATATTGATATTAAATACTAAAAGAGAGAGAGAGAGAGAAAAAGGAATACTTGGATTTAGAAATGTCTGTCACATACACTCGAGCCTTGAGATAAATGGGACCATCTCTTCTTTGGTAGAGGTCAGGTTGTATGGAGCCCAATGGCGAAGCTGGAGGTTGTGGTCCACCTTCGCTATTATACAAAAAGAATACATACAGATTAAAAGTAATACTTATTACAAGAAGACTTTTCTCCACGTAAAGCCATTATACACTGATTAAACATGATCGTGAGAGGGACGAAGTAAAAAAAAAATTAACTCTTAGCCAGTGTGCGATCAAGCTGTGATTAAATAAGGGAACTCTGCTCGTTGATCTATCATTGATTGACTTTGCACGATTATATTTAACACTATTAACTGGTATTCACCATTGTAAACGATGATTTAGAATGAAATTGTTGGAAACTCTGGAATTTTGGAGTTTTTTAATTTCAAAATCTCAAGTTATAGAATCTTGACATTTTATTGCCATCGTGGAGAGTGTAAAGTAATCCAAACTTTTATCAATCTGACGTAAATTAGTATAGTCTTTTGTGACCCAACGATACTATTTGAGAGCCAAGATCACGTCTTGCAGGTTGCAATGAGAAACAATGATCACTGTCTCACCTTGCGGAAATGCGTGATGGTGGAATAAGAAGGGGTGAAAGACTTCGGCCAGCTGATCTGGAAGCTCCGTGGGCAACGTTTATCGAGGAACCACCACAAGATGAGCTCACACCTGTTGCCAAGGACGACAGAGAGCTCTGAGATGGTGACGCATTGCTGCTCAGAAGACTTCCGGAACAACTGGCTGGACTTCCGCAGCGTGCATCTAGCGATGCGGCACGACCAGGTGATGGCGATCTGTGCGTTTTGGAATCGAGTGCAATGTCTATGTCAATTAATCATCGCTGTACAACCGATTACCAATATAATACGATCCTGACGAGTGCACGAAGAGTGAATGATTTCAGGATGGATGCGAACTACAGTTCTTACGTTACAAAAAATGGGAAAAGAAGCTTATTCTTCTGAAAATTATATTGGAGATATATTACAATGTAATAACGCGAGTTTGTAAAAGAAAAAAAAACAGAAAAGAAAGAAAATGAAAAATTTATTTCTCCAGGTTGGGAACGAGGTCGGAAAGTCTCGAGTATGTTAATAGACTGTGGATTTCTATGCAACGTGAAATTTAAAGGTGCAACAATGTTGAAAATTATATGACATAATAATGTTATATAATATTATAATATTGTATATAATATTATATATACTATACTATTATATATTATATATACTATATACTATTATATATGCAATTACGTGAAATTTAAAGGTGCAACTATACTATTATATTAATATATTATATATACTATATTATTATATTAGTATATTATATATACTATATACTATTATATATTTCTATGCAATTACGTGAAATTTAAAGGTGCAACAGTGTTGAAAATTATATAATATAATAATGTTATATAATATTATAATATTGTAATATTATATAATATTATTATATTGTATATAATATTATATATACTATACTATTATATTAGTATATTATATATACTATATACTATTATATAATATTATTGTAATATTATATAATAATGTTGAAATATTTAAAATAAGTCGCATGTTATCACATTTAGCGATTATGTATCACATTTATTTAGGTAAAACAAATTTCTATGTTGCCTGCATTTTTTAAATTACTTTCACAAAGACATGAATCCGCGTAAATATTCATAGTCCAATGATCAATGAATGGTTCAATATTTAATGAAACGTTTATGACGATATCAACGACGATATAAAGAATTATCATTTCGTACCTAATACAAGTGTCTCTTCTACTTAATTTCTAACTGATAGTGAGTTTCACATTTCTGCGTTACCTATTTAATTAAAGAAATTCTTACTTGATCGAGAGCAGTACGATAACGAAAAAATGGAATTATTCACATCGAGAGAGCTCGCCAAACTTTCATCGAGGATCGCTTTGTCAAATTAAGAGATCATTAAGCACTCGTAACCAGGCGTAACCGTTACGAGTGAACTATGCTCGAGCAATTAACAAGATTTCACGGGGGATTCGATGAAACCTCGGACATTTGTCGAGCACCGTTTAATAACTCTAATGGAAACGTTTAATTCTAATCTTCTATATTATTACAGAATATATATAATGGAACAATGTTGTTTGAAATGATCGTTAAATGATAGAAAATATAGAGAAATAAACGAAAAATGTGAGATTCTCTCTGTTCCATCTATATCTATAACTATAACTATATCTATAACTGTATTCTCACATAGATTACAGTTGTTCTATATATATTTCAAGATCAATTTCCTTCTCATTTCTAGACTGCGAATTTTTAAGCATTTTAAGAAATTTAGAACCAAAAAGTATGCAAAACACGCGAAATGTATAAAACATCAAAAGCAAAGTGTACCTGTTAAAATATATTCGCCAGGAGAAGTAAATTTCTGTCCCGTTCCTTTGAACCTCTTCGTGAAAAAAAAAAAAAAAAAAAAAAGAAATACTCCGCGAAAATTGCGCAATCTATCGCTCTAGTATTTTACAAATAATTTCACGATTGCAGAGACAGCAGCGTCGCGAGCGAGATTCACAGGGAAAAGCTATTATCGAGTTATTCGATTAGGCGGTTAATTAAATCATACCTGGAGCTTCTGCTGGGTGGATAAGACGAGGCAGCGTGCAAAGGATCCCGGTGATATCGTCCATCAGGTCCAAACGGCCGAATCTGGGTCGAAGTGCCAGTACGATGGGTGGATGCTGGCCCAGATGCTCCCTCTAACGAACTCTGCGAGCTAACCGATGAATTTCTCGTGAACAATCGGCCCATGCTTCCGGATCCGCTGCCACCGCCAGGGTAACTTCGACTTTGATGCGGCAAACTCCCTGTGTTTCACATGATAATTTACGATGTGATGTTTACAGGTAATATCGACGAAGTTGTTAACGATCGGCGCCTTTTTTTGTGACTGTCTATTCGACTATTACGGCGACGATTATTAATCTTTTAAGAATATTCTTCTATAAATTGGTACTTATGTGCTTTCTATAAATTATGTACTTTCTATAAATTGGAACTTATGTACTTTCTATAAATTATGTACTTTCTATAAATTAGAACTTATGTACTTTCTATAAATTGGTACTTATGTACTTTTTTGAAAGAAAAAATCATTTTTTGGGAAGAAGCAAGTTACTCAAACGTATCCGCACCATTTTATTATATCGAGCAGCATTTAAAATTGTAATTTCATTATATCGAAAGATGCTTCTGTTATACCGTGCACGTTACAGCTACGTGTTCTGATTTTTCAACTTTAAAACGCGATCAAGATGTCAAGATCCCTTGATTGCTCGACCGGCAATTTCGCAAATGAAGGCTATTACGCGGTGAAATCGAGTCGAAGATCATAGCGATCCCATTGTACTAATTTTCTGGCGAAGAGTACCTGATTCGACGACCACCGAGGAACATGGCTGCACTGCGTGTTGTTCTTTAGCGACGTTGAACTCCTGTAACAAAATTTGCTTGTCAGAAAGATCGCGTCCAATTTCCTCCATCGATCGTTTTCTTTCATTTTATTTTTATATTTGTTTCTTTTTTCTCATTTTTCATGTTTCACTCCTTCAGATAAAACAGAATTCTCCAAAAATGTGAAAATGAAGGAGATTCGCGTGAACAGAATATGTATAGTGTTTGAGGCAATCTCAACGTCTCAAACTCCTCGATTCGTTACTTTGTTACCAACGAAAGGGGCCTCCTCCCGAATTAATTTTCCACCGACTCGCTCGTTACTTGAATCTGGATCAGAAGCAAAGCAAACAAGTTGCCCTGCTCTCAGTCAGTCAGTCGAACGTTTACGATTCCGACGTGAGCGTAGAAAGGAATTTCCGTCTTCCAAGTTAACATCGGGCGCACGTACGCGCCGTTTTCGTATAAAACGCACTTACGTATGCATCCTGCAATTCGGATCACCACGTCGCAGAAAGAAGAGAAATATCGAAAAGAAAAGAAAAAAGAATACTCGGACAGAGGAATCTAATAATCGGGCTGCGGATTCTGATTTTCATACATACGGAAGATCTACTTCACTTTATCAAGTATTCGTAGCCTAATAACGATAAATGTATAACTTGTTACACTGCTCGTATATTATTATTAATATTGGAACGAATGAAATCTAACTAGTAAATATCGCGCTTGTGTTAGCGAAACGAAGAGATATATGTAATTTGTAAATTTATAAGATAATTTACAAGTTGGATATTAGTTTTGTCCAATTTGTAGAGATATATCTAATTTGCTAATATTTAACTTGTAAATATCTCAATTTACTAATATCTAACTTGTAAATATCTAATTTACTAATATCTAACTTGTAAATATCTAATTTACTAATATCTAACTTGTAAATATCTAATTTACTAATATCTAACTTCTAAATATCGCACTTGTGTTAGCGAAACGAAAAGATATATCTAATTTGTAAATTTACAAGATAATTTACAAGTTGGATATTAGTTTTGTCCAACTTGTAGAGATAGAGATCTAATTTACTAATATCTAACTTGTAAATATCTAATTTACTAATATCTAACTTGTAAATACCTAATTTACTAATATCTAACTTATAATATCGTAAATATCAAATTTATAAGACAATTATCAAATTTATAAAGATAATTTACAAATCAGATATTAGTTTTGTTTAATTTGTAGAGATATATCTAATTTGCTAATATCTAACTTGTAAATACCACACATGCATTAGTGAAACGAAGAGGCATATCTAATTTGTAAATTTATAAGATAATTTATAAGATTTAATTAATAATACACGATTAATATAACAGTATTATACAATATAAGATTAAAGATAAGAAATATAAGATAATATATAAGATTAATAATATAAGATTTAAGATAATTTAAAATTTATAAGACAAAAGTTAGATATTAGTTTTGTCCAACTTGTAGAGATATATCTAACTTGCTAAATATCACACATGTGTTAGTGAAACGAAGAGATATCGAGAATATTGGTTCGAGAGAAGCCACGTTTCCGGCGATTTCTTCAATTTCCACGGAATATCCGGCGCTCGTTTGGATTTTTGACGCGTTATTTCCCCTGTTTTCAAGCAAAGTCGCGTTCTCCGCCCCGAGCATGTCTATTTATTTCTGGTCCCGTAATTAAAAATTGTTGGCAAATGTGTGTCTAACCGGGCGAGTGTTGGAACCGGGTCGATGAACCGTCTACGATTTGTCTGTGTTTTCGGATATTGGTAGTGGATATATTCGAAAGAAAACATTGAAATTAATCGTTCGTCGACTGGATGCAGCCATCGGTCGATTTTCAGCGGTGAGAAAAACGTGTTTTGCGAACGATAACAATTCCATACAGGCTTCCTTTGGTAACTGTGCTCTAATAAAAAAAAAAAAAAAAAGAAAAAAAAAAGAAAAAAAAAAGAAAAAAAAAGATATACGCATCTTGCAAACAATCTGATAAATAACATCGTGCAGGAAATTAAACAAGTATTAACCATATATCATTAAACTAAACTAAGACGTACTGGGTTTGGCTGAGGAGCAGACGGTGCTTGAAAGTGAGGAGCTTTGGTTCCAATGGCTCCGATTGGCTGAGACGATGGCTTCACACTGGCTGACATCAAAGAGTTTGAAGAAGAGCTAATAAGAACTGTATTTGGATTATTACTGAGCTGTTGATTTTGTCCAAACGGTGGAGCAGCAGCTGCGGTCTGCGAAAAGTAAACAGTTCTTACATTTTAATGTGTGCTTAAACATATAGATCTTCAACGTGGTATTACGAGGTGTTCAATAAACTTCATCCACGTATTTTAGCATTATAGATATATATCAAATACATCACAGACCATGTTTTTCTAGGGATTTAGAAACTAGGAATTTAATTAATTTTCTCATATATGCTGAATTTTTTTTACCAAGATGTCTGTACAATTTTGAGGAAAGAAAATAAAAAAATAAAAAAAAGAAATATATTCTTTTCCTCGAGTAAGTTTAGAATCAGAAGTAAAGCAAGATAATTGAAAATGGAACAAAACCAATTTAAATATATCGTTTTGGATATATTCTTATCCAAAATGTGTTCCAATATATAAATGAAATTAATTAAATATCTCACAGAGATATCTGTATTTGACGTATATGCGCGTTTATTAGATCTCAATCTGTATAATTTTTAATACACGGATATCCAATTTCTATTACACGTGTTCGCGTAAACTGCTGCCAAAAACGTAAAGTAACAAGTCTCAGTCTATATAAGATCATGGATCTGTGAACATGACATCTTCAATTCTTTAATGGTTCACATGTCCTGTGTATATCCCCCATGCGATATACGCACTTCCTAATATGCGTATGTAAACACTATTGTATTAAATCAATTTCAATGTCAGAGCAATCGTTTTCTTCCGACAGAATGTAACGACAGAGGTAAATATTTGATAATCGACTTTTACCGTTGAAACTGTATATTATGAATTATGAAACCGGATACGGGATTGGACAAGACAACTACTTACGATGCGATATTGTGAAAGATTGCTTTGATACATATCCGGAGTCGGTGCATTCGGTGCGTGCGGTGGCGGAGGTGGCGGCTGTTGCAAGTATACATTCTGCTGGCTGAAGGAATTTTGAAGCGACGGCGCGTACGGCGGGTACTGCGTGAAAGGGGATCGGCTCTGATCTAACTGAAACGCTCCGTAGAGGCCTCCTGCCTGAGCTGGAAGTTGACCGGAGCCAGTGTTGAACAACACGGCCGGCGGGGAGGGTATAGCAGACATGCTGCCATATTGCGCAGCTTGAGATCCTGGATACTGAGGGAATTCCTGAAAAATGGAAACGTGTAAATGAAATGGTACAAAAACAAAGACGAAGAGAAGAAAAAAAAAAGAGAAAAAATATAAAGAAGATGATAATAGTGGATACAGAGGATACGAAACATGAAAAGTGCTATTACATTTTCAGAACAACTGATCACCTGATAATTGACGTGAGAGGGTTGTCCGGTGGAGTTGAACGGAGGTGGGCTCAACGGTCCTTGGAGACTAACGGGAGGATGCCCTATGGGACTTTGACCTGCTCCAATAGGACTTGGCCCAGGAACTGTCGAACCAGATTGACCACTGCTGCTGCCCGAGGACTGTTGCTGCGGCTTCACCTGCGGGGGAACCAGCTGCGCATCAGGCAAAGAGTCAGCATCTTCCCACAGGGGACATGGTGTTTCGTTATTTTTAATTTTCTATTTACATCACTATCAACCATTCTAATTGATGCTGACAAAACGCTGCGAATTTTGGGAAGACTTTTCTTTTTTTTTTTTTTTTTATTTTGTTTGTCATTCTCTTTTCTTTTTATTTTCTTTAAACNAGGCTTCCTTTGGTAACTGTGCTCTAATAAAAAAGAAAAAAAAAAGAAAGAAAAAAGAAAAAACAATTAAACCAGAAAAATTTATTTCATCAATTTTTTTTCTATTTTGAAGTGTCAGAGAGAGTGTTTCTTTTTTTCGCTTGTTTGTTCGAATTGATACATTTTTTTTTTTTTTTTGTTTAGAGTTGGAAAACGCGCGTCACGTGGTTTGTGGCAGGTAAATATCGGAACATTCAATATTTTAAATTCGCGGATAGCGAATTTGTGTACACGTGAAGACGGAGAAGGGGAGGAGAGGGGGGCTTACGTGAAATCGTATCTCAGAGATCGAAAGTTATTCGAGCGAGTTGCAATAAAAGGAATTTTCTTGGAATATTTGCCAGATAAGATTTATTATATCTGCAAATTCGACTCAAAGCCAGCTTAAAGTTGAAAAATGAAAAAAAAAAAATGGTAAAACAAAAAGAAGTTAAATATTTTGTAAAATCAAATGTTCAGACGTTGAAAACGCCAACGAAAATTGAAAAAGGAAGAACCAAAAGTTTATCAGGATCTATCTGCTATTTGTTCCTCGAGTTAAACGACATTTCAACAAGAGATCTCGAAAAGTTTATGCAACTTCGAGATCTCGTCCGTTCGAGGCTTGAGCATTGTATGTATTAATTTCACACGTGGCCTACGAGATTCTTCTTTTTTCTTCCCCTCCGCGTTCATCGTCGAATCCTTTTATCACCGCGTTTTAATTTCCTTTGATATCCGCGCACTGCCAAAGGAAATGCATTTTGGTTGTTTTCTATCGCAGATTCAACGCGGGGAAATCCATAGCAGGATTGAAACCGGCCTGTTCCGCGTTGCAGGAAAATCGTAAAAATACGAACATCCTGCCTGTGAAATACTTTGCGTATCACCGTGAACACGACTTTCGCATGAAAAGCCTTTCACGTTTGATAAAGCCAGAAACAGATGCATTCTTTTTTGACTTCGTCGATGCGAAAAAAGGGAAAAGGGAGACATCGGATAAACCTTCGAAAGAAAAGTCGCTTTTTCAAAGCGTTTTCTATCATCCTGTGTTGCAATACTAAAGATCCATGAGATTTTT